TTAGCATGGATCTATAATATTGTTAGGTAATATGTAGACACCCGCCTCATTAAAACAGTGTTTCAAAACAAAAGAATTGTAAGGGACGGTGGATTAAGGAATATTGTAGAATTAACTTTCTCTATCGTAAATGTTTGTTTTTTAAATAACACACTTTAACGGTTTAAAACGCGATATGTATTAGTTAAACTTATTTAATAATGATTTTAACGCCGGCCTGACGTGTCACATGGTTTGCAGCAGCCGTAGTCACGGGACACATAATTTTAAAGTAATTTTAACTAATATATGTATATCGTGTTTTAAACTGTTAACGTGTTTATATTAAATGTATACTACTCGCGTATATTTCAATGTGTTGCACTTAAAATGCAGTACTTATCACCGAATACGGGTATTTGTGAAAACTTTTAATTTTCAAATAGCATTGTGTTGCGTGTTACGTACAGATTTCAACGTGTTATTGATTTTTTTTGGAATTCCCATAGAAAAGGGAAAACGTTGAATGTCAATGATTATGAACTCAGGTGCAAGGATTCTAGTTCTAAGGATACTTAGCTTTATGGTTCATGGTTTTCGCACAAAGGTCTCGTTGCTACGAGCAAGGTTTTTCATTTCGGGAAAAACAATTAGCGCCGCCTAAAATCCGTAGCTTGTCGGTGCGGGCGCCGAAATTAAAATTCACGCTCAGATGGTTTAGTTACAATCGCGGTGAGTCTGATATTCTAACTATAGGTGTAGGAATATCCTCGAAGTACAATAATATCAGTCGCCTTCACAGTGCAATAGCTAAGCGGAGCAAACATAATAGATTGCATATTTTTAATTAATACAAATTATTTTTCGGAACACAAAACACAAGAAGTCTTTAATGAGGTCTAAAAGAGGTAACGTCTGCTTAAAACACGATCATTCATTCTATCCTTGACAACCTCCTATCGAAATGCTCAGGACAGATGGAATCATCAGTCATGGATCGTCAGTTTCTTTGCAGTTTTGATTAGAAAAAGGGTGGAGCAAGAATAGAGAAAAAAAACGACTTCCCGTCTCGATAAAAACATGACTGTTCTATCTGTGTCTAACTTAGGAGAAAAGAGAAGACTGATGAGAAAAATGTAACCCGTAGTGTTTTCACGAAAAATACGAATGGCTTAATTTAACATATAACTGATACGCAATAAATGAATTTCCAATCAACGCTGTGAGCATTTTAGAGAGCAATAGGCAATTAAAATCTCTAGCAAAACAAACACTTCAATATTTTCGACATAAAAATGAATATTCGGTTTGTTGCTATGCGTAGCGATTATATACCGACTTTACGTGACAATAACCATAAAACAATCGAATATATACAATATTTAGAAAAAGAAAAGAAACAAAGTTTTATAAAAGTATACAGCGCGGGTTTGAATACCGTCTGTGTTTCAAATCTCACATTTTTATATTTTTGAAATTAGAAAGTATTGTACAAATACCGTCTATAGTTTACGCGAGTAGTACACATTTAAATAAAACACTTTAACGGTTTAGAACGCGATATTTGTATATTAGTTAAACTTATTTGAACATTATTTTTAAGTACGGCGCGACGCGTTTCGAATGCTTTGCAACAGTTGTGGTCACGGGGAGACTATACAAGAAATAATTTTCCAATTAGTTAAACTAATATATATCGCGTTTTAAACCGTTAAAGTGTTTTACTTAAGAGTATTGTACAAGTTGATCATCTATGAAGCTTAATCGTTTACTTAATACATATTAATATTAAATAAAAATTATCTCGAGAAGAACTAGTTATTTCTTTTTAATGTTAATCTTTTTATTTTCATTAAAGATAATGTCTAAAATTGTAAATCTCCAGCAATGCTATTAAAATAACAATTTATAACAAAAATCCAGAATTGTGTCTAATATTGTACTCGTTTACAAATTGATGTTCCCAAGGGGCTCCGGGCAAATTGATTTAATAGAGTTTGGGCTGGCAATAATGGCAGCAATAATCGCCACAAGCCAACCTGTGTTTAGACACTGTAATTATTATTAGAGACTAGCTGTGTCTGCGACCTCGTCCACGTAGAATTTTGGTCGTCAAAATTACCTTTGGCAAACTGTTCAACTCTTAATTTTGACCCGTTACTCACGACGTCACCGCTTTTTAAATATCTTAAAATGTAAAAGATAGGCATATACTGCTGGGATTTTTTTGTTTTTTGCCCTCGATAAATGCCCCAACCAACACAAAGAGAATAAATTCCACATATTTTAGTAAGGTTCACACAAACAAACTCTTCGGCTTTATATATTAGTATAGATAATTAAAATAGCCTTTATTTGTTTAAATAAAACACACATTTAACCGGTTTAAACGCGATATAATAGGTAAACTTATTTCAAAATGATCTTCGCTTCTCCATATTTAACGTTTACATATATCGCTTTTAAACAAATGTTATGAATTATACGTAAACTCTTTGAGCCTTTTTTTGTTCCGAATATTTACATAGTTAAAAAAAATAAATTTTTTAACTATCTGAACCAGCGACTTAGTTCCTGAGAATCGTTATTTTGGGCGCCTTTACTTTTTTTATATGTATCTTTATAAACAGCGCCCCCTCCCCCCCCTAGCAATTTTTACAAGACATAGCTCCAGTCGTTTAAGAGGAACTATAACTGCCATTGATTTTTTTTTTTAGATTTTTCGTATTGTGTTCCTTTTGACATAGGCCTCCTACAACTGCTTCCATTGAAATCGATCTGTTGCTATCCTGGTCCAATAAGGTCCCAAGGCCAGTCCCCTGCCTTTATATAATAGTATAGATTTAGGTTTATTCCCTAGCAGATGTATCCATAATATACAAACAATAGCTTTAACAACAAAGTTATCATTGATATGCTACAATACGAATAAAAAAATCTGAAATCTAAAAAAAAAAGTGGTCAAAGTAGTTGTTTGACTTAACCTGAATTAATTAAAAAATTAATTCTTCCTGTTAATAGTATTATATATCTATTAATATTATATAATGTCGTATATTTTTGACGTCCTTAAATACTATAAAAATACTAAACGACTCGGGCAGAAAAAAAATTTTAATCGTTATTTTTTCAACTCAATCGATTTTTAAATTATATAGCCCAATTAGGTGCAAATAACATTTGAATAATATTAAAGTTTCCCATACTAAGAATCGGTTGTCGTCCCAGATACAATGGTCATATTTCTATGGGAGTTATGTTTTCATTTAATATAACATAACCCACTTGTTTAAAATTTATTAATTAGCATTTGAGAGACTTCATTAGGCCGGGTCCTATTAAATGTACTAATTAACAGGGCCCGGATACTCAGGTATGAATGAAGCCGTATTGAATTTGTACAACAAAATTTATAAAACGACTGACTTAGTCCGTATATGCAATGTCAGCTGAGGTTTTATTGCTGTTAAGCTTGGCTTCCAAATTAGACCATTCATGGCATTGAATGCATTAGGTGGGACTATAAATTTATTTGTTTTCAGTTTTACTGCTGTGTAAAATAATTTTATTCATGCCACGCTTTATTATATTTGTTTTACATGCATATTAATTTGTGAAAGGCGAATGTTTGTGAAATAACGTGCTTTAATTACTATTTTAAACCAACGACGACGAAACAAAATAGCAGAGTAATGAGAGAGTCTATGTATGTTTCTATGAAATAATATTTCTTATTTTATAGAATATCTAAAAAAAAAACATAATCCAAATCTCGACTTGTACTGTGCAATTTCTTTATTCTAAAAAAGCATGTTTGCTTTCCTATCATTGGAATTAGACTAAGATTGAAATGGACGAGCTATTCCTTTATATCCTAATTTAATTTTGTGGAGAAACGTTATTACTGGATAATATTATAATACGAAAAACCTTTAGCTATTCTACTAATTAACTGTACGCTCTATTTTAGTAACAATTTTGGGATTACCTCTAATAGGCAACTCTCGTTATTGTGTTGCTATCAGGTATTAAATGTAGTTTTGGGAGCTATTGTTATTGTTTTGGGGGCTAAACCGGTTGTAACTATTACGCGGGTATAACGTGAAGTAAATTCACAGACTGTTGTGTTTGTTACTAAGGTGTAAAAGCGAATGTTATTAAGTTCTGTAATGTAAATACTAACATATACGAAATATAGATAATAAGAGGTTTTTATTTGTATTTATAAACAATTACGCCTATAGAAAATTATTTAGCATACTTTTACATACAAAGCCAACAAACATTATTTTCGATTTTTAAATTATATAGTGCCTTCATGTGCAATAACATGTGAAAAATATTAATGTTTTCAAACATTATTTTCTTTATTCTTAAATGTAGCAAAATCCCTATAAAAGCTGAACTAAATCTAGATAGACAAATAGGACGTGGATAGACCCTTCCATAAATTGAACTAGTAATGATTAACCTTGAATTCAAAAAAGTTATAAAAAGAAACAATTGAATAATGATCCACTAACTCAATATCGCATGCGCGGGCTTCCGCGCGGACCAGTCTGAAGTTAGCTGGGGCGACCTGTTATAACTACGCTATGGTCGATCCGACCAGTGACGAATAGACCCGAATAGTGCCGAACTGACATCTGACTGAGGTTCACGCTCGCCGGGACGGCACTTTTATTCAACCATTTCCTTGCGTTATTTCATTAATTAAACGCCGTCTGACTAAAATAAATGATTTCCGATCAAAAATAAATAAACGAAAGTGAAATTCACAGTGACGGTGACAGTGATGTGTACGTTGCCAACCTACACTATTATACGTACGTAAATATTAAGTTTCGACAACGAGAAATGCACTTTGGAAGATTCTACTCTTCGGATGCACCTGATGTACGTTAATTAGTCCTAATTGTATTTGTGACGAAGATCGAGATCGTAACTGTTACACAACCAACGAATTGTTTACGAAGGAAGTAGCCAGTTTGCGCTCAATAAGACAGTTTATAGCCAGGATAATGCCTACTACGGTGCACGAGAACATCGCTCTCCTCAACATGATGTCCTCAGACAACTTGGATGATGATCTGAAGAGTGTTCAACTCCATTTTCCATCTGATCGACGATTGCAGAGCGACGGCGCATGCGTAGAGGAGAGGGTCAGAACCTCGCGTGGCGACATCCTGGTGGCGGTGCGAGGGGACCGCAAGAAACGCGCCATAATCACATACCATGACCTCGGACTAAACTATGCAGCGAATTTTCAAGCGTTTTTCAATTTTGTTGATATGAGAGCTATTTTGGACAAATTTTGCATCTACCACGTTAACGCGCCGGGCCAGGAAGAGGGCGCTCCCACTCTGCCCGAAGATTTCGTTTACCCTAGTATGGATGAGCTGTCTTCCCAGATTGATTTTGTTCTGGGTCATTTCGGGATCAGATCGTTTATTGGCTTCGGGGTCGGAGCTGGAGCGAATGTTCTCTCCCGTTATGCACTTAATAACCCTCAGAGGGTTGACGCTTTAATTCTCATTAATTGCACATCCACACAGGCCGGGTGGACTGAGTGGCTCTACCAGAAGATCAATACGAGGCAGCTCCGGGCCAATGGGATGACTCAAGGGGCTCTGGACTACTTGATGTGGCATCATTTTGGCCGCAGTACTGACAACCGTAACCACGATCTAGTTCACGTTTACAAGGAGTGTTTCTCCCACGTTAATCCCGTTAATTTATCCATGTTTATTGATTCCTACTTGCGTCGTACGGATCTGGGAATATCGCGTGACAGCAACACGGTCAAAGTTTCGGTTTTGAACGTCACGGGAGCTCTGTCACCTCACGTCGAAGATACAGTCACGTTCAACGGTCGTTTGGAGCCGGCAAAGACCTCTTGGCTTTGTATTTCTGATTGTGGCATGGTGCTCGAGGAGCAGCCGAATAAGATTTCAGAGGCGTTTCGACTGTTCCTCCAAGGGGAGGGTTACTGCAGGTAGTCATGCGTAGTCAATGTAATATGTACCGCAGCTACGTGTAACATGTTATAATAGAAATGCACATGATGCTTAATTCCCACGGGAGCTTTTACAACACGTTCGTTGTAAGCGCATTGGAATCGTAGGTCAAAAATGTTATGCCTTGTTTTAGACGTAATTACGAAATATATTTATTTTACAGCTTTAATGGAGTTTCATTTTCACTTCAAAACATTATCAATAATTATAACCAAAATCAAAAAAATAATTGTTTATGTATCTTAACTGAGATTCGCTACAGACCGTTTGTACAATTTAACATAAAACGATAATATTAAAATGGCCGAATCAACAGATAATGAAGTTAATAATTCGTATATCATTGTTTACATAATAATCTAGAGTATATGTACCTACACTTTGTTTTTATTTGGATACTCTTAAATATTTTTTTTATTTAATTTTTACTTAATCTTTTGAATATATTAGTACTATCTATATGTATGTATCTAATAATTTGTATTTTTTGAAGCATGTATTTGCATGTATGTGTTTGTTTGTTTTTTGTGTACTTCGTCATGGAAATCTAGATATTCAATCGTTCTAGTTGAAATAACAAAATTCTGTTCGGGTCACGAAATACCGCCTATAGATGTAAATTTTATTTTTCCTTATTTATTTACTTAAAAAACAATAGTTATATAGGTATAATAAAAAAATGTATAGGTAGTTTAATCGCGTTTCTGATTTTAATTTATGGATTTCCGGATGGCCAAGGCAAAAATAGATCTACAGCCAATATTGTTGGTATTTTATAAGACTGGGCTATTTTAGCTTCCATCTAGTGAACCTTGTCTGTAGATCTTATTATATATGGCTTTGCAAAAAGTTTAATAAGAAAGGAAAAGTACCAAAGTATTATTGATTTTGTAATTAAATTTCAATTCGGATTCAATGGTTGATTTGCGATTCGAGTTTTTTGTGAATCCGTGGTAGCACTTGCCACCCTAGGTGGCTTACAAATGCACTCACGTCCTGTGGCTGGACCCACCCACCCACTCAACCCCCTTTCACTGACCACTCAGTGTAGCACCCACTACTGGGCGAGTGAATCTGCGGATTATTGGATCCTTCGAAGAATGCATACGGTCCGTTGGGCACTGAAGGTTTTTGTTAGACCTTTACCTTGTATACCTTAAAAATGTGTAACTAACTAACACATAATAATACTACACAATAGAACCTTAATTGAATTAGATTGAGTATTTTAAAGTAGGGTATAAAATTATTAACATTAGTTATATATTAATGCTCATATAGTTTTGTTTAATATCCCGCAAAACATATATCTTATATCTAATATATGAAGCTGAGGAGTTTGTTTGAACTCACTAATCTCAGAAACTACTGGTTCTAATTGAAAATTTGTGTTGGTTAGAGCATTTATCGAGGAAGGTATGAATAAGGTTATAAAACATCCCGATGTGGCTAATGGGAGTGAAGAAACAGCGGGAAATGTGTAAAAAACAGTAAAAATATTAATCTCTATGTCTATCTGTATGTCTTCGAAGATTAACTTGCAAGCACGACGCGTCCGACGTCGTGGGTTATAGATAAATATATTAATATGAAAAGGCAAAAACAAATTTGGATGCCGAAAATTACAACTCTACGCGGACGAAGTCGCTGACACAGCTAGTATAAAAACCTTAATCAAGTAAATACAGACAGCCATACTTGACTAAGTAAGGTATCAGATATTAAGTATAATATCAATATTGGTATAGACAGTAATAACATCGATCTTACAAATGTTTACGAGTCTTACATAACTCGACGAGATTTTAAAAGTGCTAGCTAACACACCGATACGTTTCGAAACGCAAGTCAACCAACCACAAAGCGATACTCTTATGGCCGTGACGTGGCTTTGTAGGCAAAGTGGCTGAGTGCTGGGCTGTAGTGCCGCTCAAAGAACCTTCGACTGATAGAAGGTTCGGAATTGAGACTTTTCAATCGATAGCGCATTGCTTTCACATACTTAAAGATTGTGTTTACATGTAAGATGAAAGCAAGGAGTATCATAGTAGTTCTAAATGTTAATGTTGCCGAGCAATGCGTTAGGTGCGAGAGAACCTGGGTTCTAATCCCGAACAGTATTGTTTCGGTCGGGAGGGTAACATAACCCTGATTAACTACTTGCCTGTAAATTAAATCGACCAGTGAAACGGACCCATAATGTGTTCGTCCCGAGAAAATTTACTTTTGTGAGTCTTGTTATTGGCATAGATTTTTTTTCTACTTCACATGTATGAGTAAATCTTTTTAAGAACGCTTATGTATTTTTAAATTAAAATATCTTTATTAAACGTTGATTTATTAGGCTAAACCCAAAACGCTGTTAATATTCTTAGCGTAATTGGTCTAATGTAAAGTATTGTCTTTACTTTACGCAAGTAATTCACATTTAAACAAAACACTTTTAACGGCTAAAACGGAAACAAATTAGTTAACATATAACAATTTATTTATATATTGTGACGTGATCACAGGTGGTGCGAACTATCTGACACGTCGGGCCTTTGTTAGAAAAGATGTCGTGTTTGAAACCGTTATTTTTTTATTACGAATTATGAATATGAGGTACGTAAAAAAATAATCATAATATATATGTTTTATATATAAATGTATCTATAAAATACAGTTTAAAGGTGACAAAGCAGATATTTTGTTGAATCTTTTCGTCCATAAAAACGTATCGTAGATAAGAATCTCTTCTCGAAATCTGAACTCATCACTTATACATCTATCTTGTCCGATTAAGGTTTTAAGATATAGTGTTATGTGTAATAATATATTCTATAATATCCGTAAGCTTCATACACTTAGTATAATAGGCAACATATTATCTTGGACAGGAAATAAATTTATTTTCACATCCTTATTATGTATGAGAACCGCCTCTGTAGCCAAATGGTTAAACGCATGCGTTAAGCGCGAGAGGTCCTGAGTTCGAATTCCAGGGAAACAAAAAAAAGTTTCGGACAGGCAGGGCACAGAAGTTGCCTGTTAAAAAGGACGGATCTGTGAAACGGACATAGAAATGTGTTCGCCCCATGCCCCACGAGGGGGAAACGGGATCTATAATACGAGTAGATATAAGAAATAAAATCAAGATAGCAATTTTGACATTGTGTTTCAGTGTACATAATTCAACTGTTAAGTTTCGAATAAGTAAAATTCGGTACCCTCTGTATTTTTTGGTCAATACTCGATTAGACTCCTGCCCCTGCCTAACTGAAACTATGATATTTCTCTAGGAATCGAAGCAAGACCTATCAATTGAAATAAATAATGTAGACAATAATAAAAATAATTTAAATATTTTCTGCAGCTTACGTGACTAGTACACATGATTAAAATACTTTTAACGGTTTAAAACTCGAAATATATTAGCTAACTTATTCTTAAATACGGCACGAGGAACTTTTAAGGAACTTTGCAGCAGCCGCGGTTACGAGGGCGTAGTTAAAATACTTTAAAGTAAGTAATATATTTTGCGTTTCAAACAGTTGAAATTATTATTTTTAAATAAATAATTTTCCAAATAGATTTATCGTATAAACTTAATTTTTGTTATAAATTCTTAATCATACAAATCCGTAGCTAAAACGCGTTCTATTGTTTTTATTTTATACTTTATATGGAAATTGTTAATTTGTTTCTATAATATTTGTATCGGTTACAATCTAAGCCAATAATATTTGTGGTAGCAAACTTGAGATATTGTCCCATCTCCAGCACAGCATTCTCTCAAAGCTGCGTTCCTCGAATATTTGATATTGGATTCCCCCGTTTCCCTGGGGAATGTAACATTTTTGTCTATTGGAATTTTTGATAAAGCTTCATATTGGGCGGGTTCGTGTTGCGTTCTTTTTGCGAGTTGAATAGAATTCCCAAACCGTAAATAAAACTTCCTCTTCTCTCTTATGCCGTGTAATATTAGCTTCAATAAAGCTACATTTTAACAAAGAAAGTTATAAATGGGATTGAAATTATCGTCATCGTTAAAAACGGAAGTATAATTTTAACGGCTTTGAACTATATTATAAGTATTATAGGGGGTATTTAACCCATCAAAGAACTTTTAAATAAAACACACTTTAACGGTTTAAAACGCATAGATTAGTTAGCCCGACGTTTCGGATATATTGCAGCAGTGTCAGGAAACTTCGGCCGAACTAAATCATTTTCAAATAAGTTTAACTAATATATCGCGTTTTAAACCGTTAAAGTGTTTTATTTAAATGTGCACTACTCGCGTAAACTATAGACAGTATTCCATTAAAGAACTGTTGAACGTTGTATCCCTTTCTTACAGAAGGGGCATTTCGAGAACCCATTATGCGCTACTGTCCTGTGTATGTACTGTAGAACTGTATCTGTACTGACTGTGTGTTATTGTGGACTGTAGTGAAATCAATTGCTTAGCATACCCTTCGAATGATAATTTTTTTAAGAAAATTTTTGATTGATTGCAACCATGGCCCACGTGATATGCAGTGTGGTGGACATTGTGACAAATGTGATAAGTATTTTTTTTAATAACATACTTCGTATATAAAGTGTAAAATTGAAGATGGATCTCTGTGGAGGCACTCTGACCAGTTTGGACAAGTATCAAGTAAGTTACTAAAAAAATATTTTTTTTTGTCTAACATTTTAACACATATTTTGTTGTTAACGTAAAATTACGTAGGTACTATAGAGATAGATACGTATGATTGAGAATTATTTTTAAAGCTACTTTAGTTTTCGAATGTATAACAAATTATTTTATTCTACCTATATTTGTGGGTTAAAGGCTTAAAAGCTCAGTCTTTGAAGATAAGAGAAACACAAAACACAGTTAATCATAAATTAATTTATATTACAATAAACAAATCCCATATAATCAATATTTACACAATACAATCATATTGTCAAAAAACATTCAATAAAAATTGACTAGTTTTACAAATTTATTTACAAAGGTAAGCTCCATAAAAGTACAGAATGTCTTCAGTCCGACAAATATTTACAACAAAACGACATATACTTGACTAGCTAATGACTAACTACTGACAACGTGAGATCACTTAAAATTGTGGATTATATTTTAATGGAAATAAGTAGGAGTGTCCGTGGCTCCAATGGTCAAATGTGTTGCCTAACGTCAAGTGTCAGATGGCTTGAATTCTATTGAATCTGGATTTTAAAGAATAATATAATGATTAATTTATATCGTGCAGGTTAAACGGATACAGAAATATGTCTGCACACACACCACGTAGTTGAAACCGGGTAATTAATGTTTCATAACTTATTACTTAACGTATCATGTTTCACATGAAAATGAATACCAATTTTTTCACATGAAAATAGTTTAAAGAATTCTCATACTTATTTCCAGCTTATTTATACATAGATTACTTATAACACGGTTTAAAATTACACTGTAGGTATAGAAGGTTATCTATTTTATTATATTATGGCAGTAAACTGAAGCGTAGTTTGTCTATTGTTTAGGTATTTTAGTTTAAAACATTATTTCAATATTGAAAATCGTGAAGTACTCATTTACTTCAACATACACAGTTTGCTATTGCTCTGTGTTTCAAGAATGACTTCAGATTTATTTCTCACTATTATTCACTTGAACTTATGAGGTCGATGATAAGAGTAATCCAAATAACAAATATAATTAAACGGTATTAAACGCGAACTATATTAGTTAAAGTTTATAACCAGGTCATAAAAATAATTTATAAAAAAAAAATATATGGAACAAAGAATAAGATTTTTGGGATGGTTTGGGACTTTCCTAATGCCAAATTAAGGGGGAATGGGAAAATGGTGGTTAGCAGCAAATGTGAAGCCATCTATCCGTGAACCGAAGAATAATCCACGTCCGCCTGTTCGTGAAGATCCCAAATGGACAGTTAAGTAACTGATATAGTTCGCATTAACAAGTATTTTGGTACACGTCTTACCTAGAAAGATCTTTTTCTTTGTGTCGTCGGAAAGTCGATTTTACATTGAATGTAACACGAGAATAAAATCTCACAATAATTTAATTTATTCGCCGCGATTCCGACGCAGTCGAGGGCTTCAATAGCCGCTAAATGAACTCGAAGCAGACGCAAATCATAAAATAAAATTTGCAGCCTTCGTACTCTATTGATTTTATACCATTGAAAGTCATTGAATAGCTTTAATACTAAGATACTGTATTTCAAAAGAATCTGTCGCTGTAGCTCCAATTTTTTGCCGCGCCAAATGAGAGTGACGTAACATAAATTTAATTAAAGGCTGTTTATTATGTCATTAATTGAAGTGGAGTCAATTAATGAGGCTTTATGGGGAGTTGTCGCAGCGATCGGGCGTTGGGAGTTAACTCGCGAACACCTGACTCCAATTAATATTTAAGGATCTTACAATTCGCTCAACACCGTGCTTTAAAACCTCAGTCCTAGTTCAGGAGCTCGGACGAGAGTCGAATGCTTAATTGGGTTGACTAAGTAACATTTCGTGGTGTGAAATTTGAAAGTTTCGTTAATGAGTTCGTTGCTTGATAACGCCTTTGAGAACGTCATAATGAGGAATCGTTGTAAATTACGTTTCATGCCAGTTTGAATACCATGCCATGGCAAGCCACGTTTTTTGTGCTGGACACAAGTCTCCTCTTGTATAAAAGAGAATTATATAAAATTAGACCCACCATACTGTTTTAGCGTGGGTTGGCGAGCTTTAACGAGTACCACCGCTTAATTAGTGATGGTAACATTGACCGCCGGCTTAAGGTCCTCTCCGAAGCATTGTAACACCTTCAATATCCAAATACCGAATTTACATTTTGCTCTAGATTCGAACCTGGGACCTCGTGATATACAGTCGAGTGCTGTGACCGCTACAACCAATGGCAGATTACGCCACTATAGTGTCCGAAAAACTTTTTCTTCAATCTTTATAAATTTCACGTTTTTTAAATATTAAATTAATAACAGTAATTTCATTTTACTCATTTTTGATTATGATTCACATCGAAGGACATTGAACCTAAGTTAGTTACAATTAGAGCAATGATTGTGTATTTAAAAAGTTTTGATAATCACATTGTACGCACAGTATGCTATAGGCCATGCGTTTGAGTCCCGCCACTGTAGTTTGTTCTAATCTAAAGCATATTTAAATTTATACTTTTACATACTTTACTTCAACACAACTAACATGAGATGTACGATTACCATATTACAAATTGCTTCATTAGAATATTTCGTATCAGAAAACAATGCTGAGATGAGAATTATAATGGTCTAAATTTCTTAGGGTTTGATTTAAAAACATATCAAAGTTATTTCATTCCTTGTCAATTATCGATTTTTATGAATTGATGTTATTGCAGCGTTGAATTTAAGTTTTATTTATCCTGCGTGACCCGACGCTAGCTGTGCTCGTGGTGAGTGCGAGGCGACAAAGAACCCGGTCCAGACTCCACGCTAGAATCACCAGCATAAACCTCTGAAAACCCGCCTCCACTTCCACCTCCGGCAGCACTTCCTGCACCTGCTAAATCAGAAAATACCATTTCCTAGGACAAATGACAAAAAGCACAAGACTGGTAAACTTGCCTATAAAATAGAAATTTATATAGGAACCGAAAGGTGCTCCATGAATTTTCTATTTGACTTATACAAAAGACTAACTGAATTGCCTAACGTGTTTTGTTATTTGCAGGATTAAAATTTTTATTCGCAGCACGTATGTTACTATTGGTTGTAGCGTGATGTTATATATCCTAAAGCCTTCCTCGATAAATGGTCTATCCAATACAAAAATATTTTTGCAATCCGTACCAGTTGTTTCTGAGATAAGCACAACTAAACACACAAACTCTTCATAATAAAAGTATAGATGTAAACATTACCATGGTGCGATAGAGGAACGCAGTAAGATGTTCCCGCGCAGTGTCGTGGCCGCACCTTTTCGTATCGGCTTAGGTGTTGTAACTCGCATTCTGAATGGTGCTTCTCAACTGTTAAAAGTAATTTTTATTACTGATCTATATCTTGATTTCACACAATTAAAAATCGATCATAGATTGAAAAAATTTTTAGGACACGGTCGGGACGTGAACCGGAGTCCATTGCGTTAACCAATTGAGCTATCGTGTCCCGGTAAGAGCAGCGTTACCCCGCCCGTATTGTAATTATGTTCAAACTAAAATGGATTTTACTTTGTACAATGGCATCATGTCAAAGTAAAATCAATAAAAATAGTAAAATGTATATTAAAGTTTTCAAAGTGTTCTGAAATAAAAGTATCGGAAGCATTTTAACTTTTGAACATAAATATTTGTCTCATTTTACAATTGAATATTAATTATTATTCGCCACAGATAATTAATAATGTAAATAAAGTAGGTACATTTATTGACATAAAAAACATAAGGTAATAAAATGTTATTATATTATTATTATTTTTATAATATTGATATGATTAGTAAATTAAAACAGTATGTTGTTTGCTTGAGTTAGCGTTTAAAGATCAAATAAACACGTATATAATAGAAAAAGCTTGATGTAAGAACAAATGTTGCAAACATCCATACACAAATTTGGTTAATATTCTGTTAAATATTTCTTCATACTTTGATTTACGCAGATGACACGGTAGCTCAATTGGTTACAGCAACAGTGCGGAACGCTGTGGATGCAGATTCAAGTCCTGCCCTTGTGGGATTTTTTTCAATTTATTTCGATATTTAAAAAAAGTGCCTTCATGTGCAATAACATGTAAATATAATCGAGTTTTTAAATAATACCATATTGTAATAAATAATGCATTTTACCGTTACAAATAGTTAACAACTTATGCCAAGATCCGATTTATTTTATTATACTTTCTTGAAATAAAATTTACTAGCAAATCAGCAAATCTAGATTCTTCGTTGTTTATTACGATTGAAACCCTATATCGGATGTAATTTTACACTCTAGTTGAATGATCTAGTTGCAAAACTGATTAGGGATATCAAGTGCATGACACTATTTTCCTATAGATAGGTCTGCTTAACTGGATTTGTGGCATCGATGCTCATCTCCGTAGCTCAGCTGTTTAATGACATAGCATTTTTAAATAAACACTCGCGATAAACGCGATATATATTCGTAAAAACTTATTTGAAAATTATTTTTAAATTTTTAACTGCTACGCCAGCGCTATCTGTTTTTACTTTGACGTCAAAGACATCCTCCATCTTTAGTCTCCACGGCTGATGCAAAGCATCTGAAACGTTGCGCGGTAGTTAAAAATAATTCAAATTAGTTTAACTAATATATATCGCGTTTTAAACCGTTCAAATGTTTTATTTAAATTTGTACTACTCGCGTAAACTACAGACAGTATTTGACATAGCATTGTCACTAAAACTCGAATCAACAAGGATTGATGTATGTCACAATAACGTGAAACATTACGTAACTACTCTAAAAATAAAATATTGCAGTCCATTGTTTGCTTAGCATAGAGAAGTTTAACTTTTTAAAATATTTACGTATTTTTGAATAAGCAATTTTGTAACAGCATTATTCAGGTGAGAATTGCAAAGGCTTCCAAGGTATGAAGATTACAACTCAAACCTACTTTTAGGCTGTTTTCACATATTTGGGTCACGGACCACGGCCATTCAATTCCAGCGAAGCTTTTGGAAGTTAGATACGAAAAATATACAGCGAAGTTAGCGAGGCGTATTTAAAAATGTATGTATTAAGTTACGGATGGAAGTAAATAATAACATATGGTGTATTTTCCGTGTTAATGTGTCCTATAACTGGAAGCTGATCTTTCTTATAGGAAAGATGGTTTATCACTTAAGATCCACTGAACTACCGCCACATTAAAAAAAAATTTTGGGCGTGATCAAGGATGCCCCAAAGACATATGCTTCGCTAAAGCATATAGTTGATAAAATCCATTATATAAATACATTATTTATGGAAGAGAAGGACAGACAAACAGGGAGTTCTCTTGATGGTAGCGTATATACCCCAGCCTATAGAATCTAAACAAGATGCACTGTCGACCTATTTTGTCTTTGGATATTTGGAAACCCACAGACTGAAACCGAAACGCGATTAAGCTTCACGGCTTTTTTAATGTGTATGTTGTGACCCAGACGGAATTTATATTCCTACCACTCATTTAATATCCACATTTCCAGACGAAGACCAACGTATATCAGAAAAATTTTAAATTATTTTTTTTAAACATGTTGGACCTGGTGATTATTAGCCATACATGCTCCCATTAGACCAACTAGCCGGTAACATAAGATTCAAATATAGGGGGGAATTTTCCTTTGAAACATTACGAATACCGAAGTTGTTTCTTTCTAAATTTTCTTACCATCAGCTCTATCGCGATGTCTTTGTGGATGTTTCCTGCAAGGTCTGTGAGGCGGTGCATCATTATCCCGATGCCCGAAGGTGCGGAACTGCAAGGTGTGGTCCAAGGTAGCCGCAGTGGTCTCTCCCCCCACAGCAAAAGTTGCGTATGGACTTATTTCATAGACATCTATAAAAAATAAGGAATTTATTAATTAGGAACTGTAATTATTCTAACCCATAGTACTGTCAGTATTGTTGTGTATTAAAACCGTGAAAGTGTTTTATTATTATAAATATTATATATATATAATTAGTTATCTAATTATATTTCGCGTCAAAAGCGTTTTATTTAGATGTGTTAACTGCAGACAGCAAAAAAAAATTGATTCGGTAAAAATAAAGAAATCTTTTTGCTAAGGTTATGTAACTTAAGAAAATAATTGCTTTTTTAATATCCTTTGCAAAAAGAGATTTCATCCATAAAGACATTATTAATATTCATAATTGAGAGTCTGTATGTATATATATCATATCTGTATGTATGTATATCAAGATCTTATTAATTTACTTCTATCGAGAGCTGTGTTGATTTAATGATATTTGACTTTTATTCGTGGGGTTCCAAGTTTCCGACACGTAAAACCTGACACTTCCTGCCGCGGAGGACTACCATCCTAAGAAACCATGCATGTCCTAGAATCAAAAATTCGATAATATAAGTCATCGGCCAACATGTATTCGGTCAGTAGCAGATAATGGCTTCCTTGGACTGGTCCCAGCGGTGGGAACTATTAAACGAGCGACGATTAAATTTCTTCACATTCTTCTTCAACTTTGCGATTACAAATCTATTTAGATTGAAAAAATGTACGACAACGTGACTTGAACTGGTACCCACAGTGTCCCTGCTGATCTAACTACCGTACCGTTGAGCTAGCGTGGCTTAGAACACTGTAGCTCAATTGGTATACATGTTGTATCAATTGAGCCACGTCATGTTGAACATTTAAATCTTAATAGATTTTAATTTATATAATCCATCATGCAGTAAGTATTTTTTGTTACCCTTTATGTAGAAAGAAATCAGGTATAAAATAAACGTAAATAAATTATCTGTCACTTCTCTGTGCTTATATGTTATTTGGTTTGACATATAATCATACATTTTGTACAGTGATCGCACCGAAATTATATCCTGTCAAATGGTATTAAGGCTAAGGTAAGGATACTACAGAACACTATGTTATAACAGAGATGTCATCATGATGTTTTACTTTTAAAAAAGTAAAATAAAATATTTATTTTCTTAGTTTAAAAACGTTAGAGAAGGATGTGTATTTGAGTCAAAATTTTCGTTTCGTATAATATTCGTTGATAGATCTTCAGAATATTTTCACACGTTTGTTCATACGATTGCGACTCGTACTGCGTTCAAACTAAACTATCGGCCAATGCTATATCTCGCCGACCGCCCGAAGGTTCATTTCGCTTCGAGTTTTGGCCCAATGGGCTCATGTTTGTTTTTTATTATGTCGCTACCCAATTCAATTCAAGTTCACCGAAGCCATCCAGAAGCAAGGTCATTCGAAAAAAACCCAAAAAACTTTTTCCGGGTAAGTAATTTTAAATGCATCGTGTAAATTTTTCCATTTCATAATCTATCACTGTGGAGGGATGCATCCAATACCCCCCTTCTTAATTTTTTCTGTTTATCAAGCAATTATAATATTTCTGGATAGTATTGTACTACGAGTAACTTACTAAGTAACATAGTAAGAATAGTCGGCTGACTGTTGTCTAGTCTGCGCACTCACTACCAACTCAACTGTTTAGTTGGCTTAGTTTGCGCGCTAACAGTCCAACGCGATCAAACTAGCTATCGGCCGACAGAAAGTTAGTGATTTGCGTGGGCTCTTAAAATAAGATACTATTGTTCACTGATATATTAATTTGATGGATTGAATATTACCAATACTGAATGCGGCCGTTATGAAATATTGTTACTCTTTTAGACAAAAGTTACAGATCATCACTGATAGATACTGGTCAACACATTAAAGTTAAAAAAAAAAAAACAGTAGTTAAAGTAAGTATTAATTATTCTCTGTAATTTACTTCAGTTGTATAGATTTATATAAAACACATTTAACGGTTTAAAACGCGAAATATATTAGTTAACTGATTTTTAATTTAATTTAAGTATGACCCAACGTTTCCAATGATTTGCACCGGAAGTTATAGTCATACGCGTTATATTACGCGTCTTTGACTATCAAAAATGCTTTGTTTAAATTACTTTAATTACCTGATGCCGGCGATAGCTTGTCATGTTTGTAATCGTGCTGGCAGTTTCGTAAATTCTGTTGTTCGGGACACACAGACTTATCTGTGCTTGCTGCTGAATGTCTGCATCTGCGGGTTTCGTCATCCACTTGTCCACCGCATGACCACAGAGTACTAAAAAATTACTTTATGGTTTATTTAAATTTTTAATGATTTTTTTCACAGTATGTTTTCCTCGAAGTTTTACTCATATAAGGAGAAATCTATACGTAAATCGTATCTAACACATTAGAAGTTTTACATAAGACTTATTTTTTCTGTTTTATTCTGCTTTCAAAAGAAACGAAATTCTCTCTGGAGTTACAGAAGACATAAATATCACTGTTGTACATATAAGAATAAAATTTAGTAATACATTTAATCAGACAATATGTAAAAACTAAATAAAATATTAATATTCAACTGCGTTTTCCTTGAGTAACTGTTTGCATAAATGCTACTTTATGTAAACAAAAGAGATTTGCATAAATGAAAAGAACGTGTAATGCGACATATTTCCCTGCAGCAATCTTTATTCCAATGTAGAAAAGCACATTAAAATTAAATACTGTCTATAGTTTACGCAAGTAGTACACATTTAAATAAAACACTTTAACGGTTTAAAACGCGATATATTAGTTAAACTTATTTGACGATTTTAACTTCGGCCCGAGCTCAGGGCTTTGCAGCAGCGTTCCACGGCTTAAAACTTTAACGGTATACCATATATTGTAAACCGTGGTACGGTGCCGAGAGTTAAAAATAATTTTCAAATAAATTTAACTAATATATCACGTTTTAAACCGTTAAAGTGTTTTATTTAAATGGGTACTACTCGCGTAAACTATACACAGTATTCAATTGTCCAATTAATTTATATTTCTTCTGAATCATGTTGGACTTAGTCTGGAAATCTGGATATTGAGTGGGAAGTTGGAATATCAAAATTACGTCCGGATAATGAACCACGATAAAAGGCGTGAAGTTTAATCGCGGTTCGGTTTTAGTCTTTGGATTTCTGAATATCCAAAGTCAAAAAAGGTCAACAGCGTATCTTGTTCGCGCTTTCTGCTATTTTATGATAGTGGAGGACAGACTTCTCCTCAATCATAAAATAAAGAAACTTTTGAATAACAGCACGCAGTCGTCTTAAAGCCTGTAATGCCTGAAAAGCTAACACGTGTGTTATCTCGGAAACCGTGCAGCAAACGAGGCACTAGAAAATAAATGAGATTCGTAACACAAAAAAGCGAGTAGCTAAAAAGTAGGACACAATCTGAAATGAAAACTGACGAAGCATACAAATGCTCCATATTTCTTCAATTTTCGTCCGAGCTATGATTTACCGTCTAGTATTTGAACATATTTCATTTGGACAGGCTACATCGGTGCCCCGATACTTCATACTATATCTCTGTATCTCGGCGTATTTATTAAAAGTAGGGTCGTAAAAATACTGAATATCGTATATCCTTTTATCTGGCGATCGTTTTCTTTATTTTGAATCAAGTTCTGAATTAAATTTGTTTTGCTATTAATATATAAGCTCAACATTATGTTTGTTCGTTTGAACGTGCTAATCTCAGGAACTAGTGATTCGAATTGAAAAACTCTTTTTGTGTTGGTTAGAGCATTGATCGCAGAAACTATTAACGCTGTGACTAATAGGAACTAAGAAACAGCGGGAAATGTGGAAAAACAGCGAAAATTACTAATCTTCGAGGGTTTTCTCCTTTAAATTATCTAAGAAAATGTCCGTGACAGGATGGACGTGAACGACAGGATGCGACCGAGCTCGTAGGTGACAGCTATTATTTATAAAACAGATGCCGCAAAAATAAATAATACGGACCCGTGGCGTCGCGGGCATTTAACATATTGGATAAACATAAATCCGTAATTATATAATTACTGCTTTAATCGGTCAATATGTAAACGTCATGCGTTAGCCGCGAGAGGTACTGAGTTTGAATCTCGAGGAACATAGAAGCACAAAAGTCATTTACTTGTATTAAATAAGTAACGACATACTAAGCAAAATATCACACTATGCCATCTTTTTCTCTAACTGGATTCAAGTTCCGAGTTTCGTTTGAATGAATAATATTTCCTTGCAGGCCTTGAATTAATAAATTAAGGGTTGGATTAAGACTTATTGTAGCGTGTTGAAGTAGCATTAAAAATGTCATCGTTTTATGAAATAAACGATAAACATCGCAACGTTTCAGTCAGCTGGATTTTTTATGGTTTAAATTTGTGTTAATTTATACAACCCTAACGTGTAATGTATACGTGTAAACTATACAAAAATCCTTCGAATTTCGTCGCTTTTTTACTAAAACGATGTGGATCAGTGAATTAATATAAGTTATCATATTCAATTATTAAAATGATTTAATAATAATACTAAATGTATTTAGTTGGTTCGCTTACTGTTTCATTTAATATGAATCATGGTTTGTTTTATACTAGAAAAGAAAAAGAAGAAAGACAATAAAAAAAAGAAAACTATTAGGTACTAGATAGGTGTAAAATAAATCTCTACTTTTAAATAAAGGACTTTAACGGTTTAAAACGATATATTTTACCGTGGTCACGAGGAGACTGTTTTTAAACCGTTAAAGTGTTTTATTTAAATGACGTGTAATACTCGTGTAAACTACTGACAGTATTTAAAATCTTTATCTATCTATCATTAAGGTTAATGAAACATAATTTCTTAGTAACACTTTGGTTGGCCTATAGATAGGATATGATACTTTAACAAGCACTAGGTATAAATGAACTGACTGTCAATGTAGTCTTAAAGCCGTTTCAAGTAAATCTTACCTTCGTTTGGCCATAAGCACTAGTAATAAGGCAGTGACTGCTAACGCTGCAAGTGCAGCAAATGCTAAAGACACAGCTCCCAGCACCCTTTCGGAACTATCAGCGCTACCGATAGTGCTCACTGAACCACCATCAGAATGGAACGCCACTGGTCTGCGTAAGCGCTCTAGGGAAGAATAAATTAGTTAGAATATCTTGTTGAATAAATACTTGACATAAATAAAATATACTTAAATAAAGAACATGAAAATCTTTTTATGTTTTGAAATAATGGATTGCCAACGAATGGTTATTTTTATATTTTTAAAATTAGAAATGAATTGCAGAGAGCAAAAGGTGATAAGTGCATTAGTTACTGCATGTATGTTATATTGTTTATATATATATTTCATTTGAGGACGGTGGCACCATAGCCCAAATGAAAAAAAACGACACTGTTCGTCGTAGGTTCGAGTTCTATCGTTGTCATCGATGTTTTGATATATAAATTAAAAACCTAAACTTGACCCGACATCAACTAACTGGTCTAACCAATTGAGCTACCATGTCATACATGTCATCGTTGAATTTCATCAACATTTCTTTTCTTTCTTTCATGGATACATGCACTTCTGGCGCATATTTTTGTTCACTCTAAATATTTTATGTCACCATTCCATACAATTAGAAAAATATAAGACAAATACCTACCTCCAGAATGTGTCGTAGTCGCTGCATATATAACAGCTTGATGTCGAGCTGTCTCTGTAGCTGTCCATAGCCTGAGTGCGTACCATGTACCAGCTGACAGGTCCCCAACGAGAACCTATGTTAATAACAGTCCTTAATTGCTTTCATGATACTAGGCAATATCAACGTATCGAAGTAAAGTGGCGATGTTTTAAACATTATAGGGTACAAAAATCCCTTAAAAGGCTTACTAATAGTAATAGGGTTGGGTCAGTGTTTTAAATGTACTTTTGGAGATTAGCGCGGACGGAAAATAGGTAGAAGTTTTTTTCAGTGATAGATTTTCACCACTTAAAAGTTTTTCAATGTACAGGCGGACCGTTTTATAAGTTTCACATGTATGATTTGTAATTTATATCATTTTATTTTTATTATTTAAATACATTGTAGATCGTTTATTGTAGATTTTTTTTAATGAAACAGGAACCATATTACATCCCAACTACGTATAACGCTGTCACGGGATCTATTCTTGCTTCGGATATTCGGAAATCCACAGAGCGAAACCGAAACGCGATTAAATTCCGAATTTCATCTAGACAAAGTGGAACATGTTTGAAAAAAATATATAAATTTACAATTAGAAACATGTTATGCCCGGTAGGTCCAGAATTGATCCAATTCCCTTGATTATTAGCCGTACACCAATGAGCCCAAAAAAATTGATTTACATAGATTGCCGTGGTCACGGTGAGACGGCTGGTGCAAGGCATCCGAAACGTCGGGCCGTAGTTACAAATATTTTTAAATATGTTAATCTAATATATGTATATCGCGTTTTAAACCGTTAAAGTGTTTTATTGAAATAAATTAAAAAACATGTTCGGCCCGGTGGGAATCGAACCCACCCTTTGATTATTAGTCGTAGCTACCATAACACCAACTAGACCGTTGAATTCCATATTCCATGTAGAGGCTATATTAAAATTGCGATTTTGTTTTACATGTACCGCAAATCGTCAACACGTAAAGGAGTAATTAGCGATAAGCGTTTAAAAAAAACGGACAAAATAAACACCCGGGTATAAAAATACGTGTTACGTAGGTTTGTTCATGTTCGGGGTGTTTATTTTTTATTCGAGTGCGAGGGTTTACCTGCGGGTCGATACCGGCTATAAAGCGTGCGCTAAAAAACGCCAGCATTAACATTTCATCTAGACGAGAATTTTATGGTTAGTTTTTGTAGCATTATTTTGTTTTTATTGGCAATTTCGTAACAGTGTAGCATAGTGGAATACAATGCATCAAGTTGGTTTCTATAGATCTTTAAAAGTTTACATTGTTTGACAGTTAGATGTATAAATTAAAAATCTATTTAGACTGTAAATAATAATCAGCCTAAATAATTAAAAATTCCACCCCAAGTCACGGGAAGTCGCGGGCACAGCTAGTCTTAAATAGTTTAAGAGTAGTGTGACATTAAAAATATTTCTAATTTCGAAGACAGTAGCCTTGTCAATCAATTTGGATTGAAAATAATTTACGACACGGCCGGGACTTGAGCCGGCGTTCACATCGTTCAGTAGTTCATCATCTAACCAATTGAGCTACTGTATCAATTGTTGGTTAGAGTAGCAGCAAAGAATGTTAGGTATATTGTATTGGATGCCTGTTCACGTTCAGCCCGTGTCGTAAATTATTTTTAATTAAAATTGATTGACAGTATTATTTATTGTCTTCGAAATTTGAAATATTTTTAATGTACTACTCTAACATACTACTCTTAAAATATTTAAGATGACTTGTTTTACATAATATTTAGTACTACATAATAGTCTACGCGAGAAGTACACATTTAAATAAAAACAATTTTACGATTTAAAAGGCGATGTAGTTTAACTTACGTTACGTTTATTTGATCACCGCTGTTGCAAGGCATCCGAATTGTACATCCGTAGTAAAAACATTTTCCAAATAAGAACCAATATACATCGTGATTTTACCCGTTAAAGTTGAATTTAAATAATTTTATCGTTTTGTATTCTTTATTATTTACATACATATTGCACTTAATTTGTGGACAGAGTACGTTTAAATAATATGTATACCAAATGCATGTATGACCATACTCACTTCTCGATGATGATGTAATGAAGTAAGGTCTGCATCTCTCCAAGCAGCGGTGTTTCCATCAGCTCTCCGCCATTGCATTCGGACCAGCCTGGCTCCGCAGCGAACAGCCCGTCTGGCGTCTACAGCTAGAGCACTGCTGTTACTCCAGACAGAAGCTTCAGCATCTTCTTCTCTAATCTCTTCAGAATTTCCTCCACCCTCCCATACTAGTACTGAACAAGCCATGCAATTCTGAATATTAAGTACGATAATAAAATTGTATTACAAAGACGGGACTCAAATCCTTCTGTTAGACAGAATCTACTATTAAATTAGTTATGTATTAAGAGCCGAAGTGAATGTTTAACAAATAAATAAAAATTAATATTTTAACGACGAATTGACGATCCTCGAAGTAGTCAGACTGTTTGCATAGAATGGATCTCTAAACTATATTAAATTATATATTATTTAGTCCAAGTAAATAATAATATCATTATTACTATACTAATGCAATTAATGGATGCAAATGCGCTTATAGATATAGGAATAACTTAATTTTTAATTAAATATTAACGTCTAGACTATGTAAAGCTTACTATTAAATATTAGCTTATATTGTTAAAAAACTTTGTAAGTATATAAAAAATATTACATGGTGAATGATTTGTAGACTTTGACCAAAAAGTATCGAGCTAAATTAGTTATTACCGTTTAGTCCTTAGAAGCGGTCCAGATGGAGGAGAAGTTCCAGCTCTTGAATGTGCCACAGCTCTCACAGAATATGTCGCACCACAGGCGAGCGCACGTAACACGATACCAGTCGTCTCTCCTCCTGTCTCTATTCTTCGCTCTTCCATCTCTAACCGAGATTGTTCAGACTCCGTGTTATCTTCTCTCACACGAACCCAGGATATCGTGAAACCTACAAAGTGTAGATAATCATACTAAGAACATTAGACGAGAATTTGTTAAGATATGTTATTCTATCGAACAAAAACTATTTAATTATAAAGTTCATAAATATAAACAACTGTTAATAATTTTTTTTATGATAAAGGAGGACATACAAGCACGCATCGCTTGATGGTAGAAGAAGTACCCCAGTCATATAACATCAAAAAATATGCGCAAAGCACTTATTTTGGATTTGGACATTTGGAAATAAATGAGTTGTGTGAATTGTCCAAAATTTATCAATTTAAATGATTGTCAGAAAAAATACCATCTATATTAATTTTGCGCCGCAGAAGACATACAATATGACCACGAACTGAGTAAAAATTGACAATTTATTTCTCATTATATTTGATATAGCGCTGGCAACACTGTAGTTTCAAAGTATGACTTTTTGCCAAACATAAGTAAAAGTACTCAATGAATAAAACATGAAGGGTCGCAAACAAGACATGAATGTTGAAGCGAGTCGCCATGTTTCGATGAGAGAAAAGTTAATGAAAATAAATAGTGTTTCATTGGAAGTAAAAGTGTTTTGTCAAACGAAAAGTAACAGTGATATTGAATTTTCCAAAAGTTCTGATTAAAAGAAACTCGGATATTTGAAAGAATATTGATATATTGAAAATAATTTCAGGGTATTGAAATACTTAACCGTTCTGTTAAGCTACCCTCTTTTTCTCTTGTGTTAAATGACTTCATAGTTGTATAGTACCTAACCTTGGTTTCAACAATTCACTTAACTAGAATACGCAACATAAATTGTGTAAGGCTTTCACGGCCATCGTTCAGCATATCAATGTCTTTCGAGCTGTTCAGCCGATGTGAGCGAGAAGAATTAATTCTTCGAGCAATCGAGGAGTTAACATCTCTTTATGATGCCGTCCACACGTGATGGCCAAACGTAGAGAACCTCTTCATGCTCACATCGGCCGAACAGCCCGAAAGACAATGATATGCTACGCAACATTAAATTTCAAGATTTGTTACGAATCCTTAAATTGGACATAATTAACATATACATTTAATAAAATAAAATAAAAAATCAATAATTTTGGTTTCATCGTTAATAATATCATTGTTTTTCGGGCTATTCAACCGACGTAAGCGAGAAGAGGTCCTCGACGTTTCACCATCACGAGCAGACGCCATCATCAGATGTTGTTAGCTCCCCGATTTCTCGAAGAATCAAACGTCAAGAACCTTTTCTCGCTAACGTCGGCCGACAATCCCGAAAAAAATATATATTTTTCATATATGGCCATGAAGGCCTTATACCATTTATTTCTTGTTAATATTTTAAATATGGAATAGTTTCTTTGATATAAATTAATAATTACCATATGGTGGTGAACTGGGGTGATGTGAGGTCCTCCAAATGATTTTAGCTTCTTTATGGTCTGCGTGTTCCAAAGAAAGAGTTGGTGGAGCTGGTGGTGCGGTACATTCTATACGATACGTCACTTCTTCTGAACCATACGTATTCCGTGCTGAACATGTGTAGTTGCCGCTAGTTGACGCATCCACATCTAGAGTGTATTATTTTGCATTTTAAAATATAGTTGCATAAAAAATACCTGTTTCCCCATCGTGGGCCATAGGGCGATTACATTTCTGTGTCCGTTTCATTGATCGGTTTTACAGGCAAGTAGATAATCAGATTTCTGTGAACTGTGCAGCCCACAGCACTCTGATTAACCACTTGCCTGTGCGAACTTTTATTGTGTCCCCGAAATTTGAACCTAGAATCTTTTAAGCTCAACGCTTTGCTAGGCAACATGTTTAATCACTTAGATGTAGAGGCGAAGTTTGTTTAAAGAAGAGATAATATATTTAACACTAAACTCGGAATTCAGACGAAAACATCTCAATCTAAGCATGTGTAATGTTATATATATTTAAAAAATCTATTTAAGACTAAAAATTTTACGACACTGGTGAGACTTCGCGCGACCCCAGCGCACCGTGCGTTATCATCGAAGTCATTTCAACCAAGCAACTAAAAAAACTATAATACTGACTTCTTTGATTATATTTAAACTAGATATAAGGCTCATAATCATATTTTCACTTACCATGTATAGAAAGATGACCAAGAGGCGTTAAATGCGCTCTGGGGTCATGCGTCAAGGGTCGATCAGCTCGTAACCAGCGAGCTCTTGGGGCTGGATCACCCCGCCAGGCACAAGCAAGTCTTAGGGGATGACCACATTGTACTCTTGCCCAAACTCCGAAAGATAGTACTCGTACGGCAGCTGTCATTGCAAATTAAATTTTATTGAAACTTAAACTATATTTTATATAAGTAAACATTTAAATAAAACACTTTAACGGCTTAAAACGGGAAATACATTAGTGACACCTATTTACAGATTATTTTTACGAGCCGTGTTCACGGGGAAACGGCTGCTGCAAAGCATCCAAAACGTCAGGCCGTATTTAAATTTTTTTTAATAAGTTCAACTAATATATTTCGCGTTTTGAACCGTTAAAGTGTTTGGTTTAAATGCTTTCAAGTAATTATATAAAAAAAAAACAAAACATAAAGTATACACCTAAAAGGTGAAAAATAACTTTAATCTTTCTTTAAACACAAAAAACTTTTAATATTTCTGCCATGTTATTGTTATAAATTTAAAATTAATTATAAATTAACAAAAAAAATTGCGCGAGAGGTGCATGTGTCAATAGGGTGAAAGAAATTGACGATAACGTGCACGCGGTAGTTCAATTGGTTAGAGCAACAGCACGGAACGCTGTGGATGCCGGCACGACAAGACAATAAAACAAGTTTGGAATACAGTAATTTTAAGTGGAATTAATATTATATCAAATTGACACAAACCTCTAGACGTAGTGGTAGCTGGCTGCGGAGCTGATGGCTCGCCTTCACCAGCCGCTGAATGAGCTGCTACCCAAGCTTCATAAGTAGCACCTTCAGATAGGGAACGTAGCTCAGTATACCCACCTAGACCAACTATTATTTCACCCTCCTCCGCTTGAACAGTCGTTGTCTGAGGTGGTCTATCTCTGAAAATATTGACTATATTGTCGAAAGGTTGATGAAGGTAATCCTGCTAATATTGTATATGCGAATGTTTGTGAGGATGTGTTAAGTCGCTTTAACGGGTATTGATAAAACTTGCTCTAATATGTCACTAAAATTGGATAGAATAAAAATTTGGTAAGGGGAATAAGATTTACATTTTTTGAATAACTAGTTGCAAAAAAATATATATAATAGTCCGTGGTATAACTATGTGTTATTTGCTCTTTGAAGTCTTAATAGTAAAATCGAAACGGCAAATAAACAGTTTATGATTGATTATTTCTATATGTACTATATTCGTGATAGATATTAGTGAAGTTAATTTTGAAACTGCTTTCTTTGGCTACTTTAATATTTTTCACATGATATTTTTTTTTTGCACTTTTTTAAGAATCTAAAATAAATTGGAAAATAATTTTCGACTCGGGCAGGACTTGAACGGGCATCGTCAGCGTTCCGGCTCGGTAAATGGTTAGAGCAACAGCACGGAACGCTGACGATACCGATTCAAGCACTGCCCTTTAAATTAACTGTTTATTGTTAATATTTTTAAAGCTATGTATTGTATAATCAAACAAGAGACTCGTGATGTCCCAACTACAATTTTGGCGTTAACATGAGCATACCTGCCAAGTTCGCGATAAAATACAGTATAGTATAATATCGGTCCATTGGGACGGTTCGGTGGCAGCCAACTAACCGCCAACGACGTTATCGATGTTGCAGCCACCTTAACAGCGGCTGGCGGGCCTGGAACTATAATTCTCGTTGATATTTCCACTAAGACTATATTACATTTTTTCCTCAGTTAAAAGATTATATTCTAAGCGTTTGAGACGACATTTAATATGGTTATATAAATCATCATCAATTTAAAAACATTAGTATTTTTATGTAAGGTTGAAGCCAAAGAAGTGTTTAAAACAAATGTAGTCTTATTTCTGAAAGTTGCACAGCAAAAATGACTGAAAATAATGGTGATTTGTATAGAGTGCTCAAGTAAGTGATCTTGTATCATTATTGAGAAATAAATGTCTTTAAACCTTAATATACTAAAATTATATATAATTGAAGCATTTATTTATAAAACAGTCGATATCAAGGCATGCTTAAATGACGTATGTCATCTACCGGAGAGTCCAGAGTTTTAGATGTTTGTAAAAAGTTTGTAATTAATAATTTTACCGTGAAAATTTAATTATTTATTTAGTTCATGCCCTTCTTGTGTTGCGATATTCATTACGCCTTTATCAATAACAAAGTGAATAATACATTTTAATTTAAAACCTATTTAGATTAAAAAATGTGTAAGACACGAGCGAGACTTGAGCGGGCATCCACAGCGTTCCGCTCAAACGATATGAGCTAGAGATAATTACGAATAATGCGGTAGCTCATTTGGTTAGAGCAACAGCTCAGAACGCTGTGAATACCGGTTCAAGCCCTCCCCTACTATTGGTACATTTTGTTGCAAAATACACACAGATTGATATTGACTACTTAATTTCATTCCTTTTCATTTAACTAAATAATAAGAAATTAAATACCCACTGAATTTGAAAAACATTAGCTAAGTAAGATTAACGTCTTTTATTTACGGTTGTGTACGGACAAAAAGCTTAAAGACCACTGCGTTCAAATTTAATCACGTTGTAAAGGTACGCTCTCAAATAACGTGCAAGGAGCTTTCCTTTTGAAAAATTAAGATTTCCCTAGAGGTGAACGTATGACACAGGCGTTCCGTGGAAATCTAGTTCGTTATTATGCTTGAACGGGTACGCCAAGAAGGTAGTCAGGATAATAATGGATAAGCTTGTGTGGTTGAAAACACAATATTATCAAACGGTTTAAAACGCGAAATAAACAAGTTTCGCATGCGTACTAATAAAAAAAATAGGTTAAGAAATACGTTTTATACCTTGTTTTTTGTTTTCATTTTTTTTGGTTTGTGTTAAGGTATCATGTCTTGATTATCACACGCAATTTGAACCCAGGAGGCCGCAAGATAATATCGAAAAGTACTGTTTGTATTTTACGTGAGTAGTACACATTTAAATAAAACACTTTTTAACGTTTTAAAACGCGATATATATCCGCTAAATTGGTAATTTATTGTATCTACGGCCCGACGTTGCATTTGTAAATCAATTTAACTAATACATTTCGTATTTGAAATCGTTAAAAGTGTGATATGTGATGTTGATGAAGTCAATAAAATATTCAGAGCCGAAAAAATAGTTTTAAACGTAAACATTGCTTACAGAATTATTACGGTTTTATATAAATAGAAAACAACTTACGATAAAATAACGAAAATGGCTTCAAGCGAACGTACACTTATCTAAAGGCATTTAAATGATTGCCCAAATTTATTCTTGGAAATCCGTAAATTGTATCATGTTCCCACAATGAAAATATAATTTATGAGTACGTAACGTGTTTATTAAAACAAATTATTAACAAAACATGAGCTTTAAAGAGATGATTATTAAATGAAAGTTGTTAATTATATTTTATTATGTTAAACAAAACACTATAACGGTTTAAAACGCGAATTGTATTGTTAAATTATTGTAACTACAAGGCTTTTTCAATGCATATAGTAGCAAATCTAAATAATTATATTACGCACTACCTATACCCGTGACTTCGTTTGCATGGTATAGTTATTTTGGGGATCATTTATTTTTTAAACAACCTCCTTTTGCTGTTACCCACACTCGATGGGTCCCTTTGCGCTGCTTTCTTGCGAGCTAATATTAAGAGTTAGATACTGTTGCAGACATTTTTTTAAGTCATTTAAAAAAAGATTCGTTTGTACACAGTCTTTTGGTTTCTTGAATCGTTTTCGCAGCAGTGTACGCAACAGAACCCTTACATTTTCCCCGTTTTTATCTTATCTATTGGTTGTTGTACGTATGTGTTATTGCCTAAAGCCCTCCTCGATAAATAGTCATACAAAAAAAAAATTCAATCAACAAACAAACAAACTGTTCATCTTCAGATTTATTTAATATTAGATTAAATATTAATTCTTAATCTATAAATAAGTACTATTAGTACAGACAATACTTAATAAGAATCTTATCAAATCTATAAACGAATGTCTATGGAGTTCAACTTACCATCTTGCTGTGTAGTACAATGTATGGGAAGGGCGGGCACACCGTCCCCCGCTGCAGTGTAGGCAAGAGCTTGAATCGTGTAGTTCATGTATGGCCTCAGTGCTAGCAGGAGCGTTTCAACGCCCGCTACTCGCTTAATCTCGGCCCCCGTCAGAGCGCTGGTGCTGCCCCCTCCACGGACCTCCCATTCTAACCAATCTGCCGCTGCCGACAAACAACTGCCATCATTCAGCTACGATTTTTTTTATTAAAAAAGACCCATCGACAAAAAAATACAAAATACGTGAATGTTTAAGTTTTAGGAAAGGACACACAGGCATGACATCCAAACTATATGATACATAAAATGGGTTGTCAACATATTTCGGTTTAGGACATATGGAAATCCACAGACTATAAACGATGATGCGATTAAACCTGGCGGCCTTTTTCATCTGTGACTCGTTATTTGGGTGGAATTCCTATCCCTCAAAAATTATGAATTGATTTGAAACGTCTGGTGATGGACCTGGTGGGTTCGGAACCGCGACCTTTCGTTTATTTCTAATATTGCATCTACGAGCTCGTCAAAAGGTACGTCATAAATATTTTCAATTACTCACTATGTTCGGGACGATACAGGAGCTTATATCCCAGTAAAGCTCCATGGTGCGCGTGCGCCGGTGGTGGTGACCACTCCACTTTTAAACTTTGTGGTGATACTGCTCTGCATCGGACAGCTCTTGGGCCTTCTGATGGCACTGAAGAGCATAGTCTAGTGAGTAACTGCTTTTAGTATGCATAAAGACCACTACACTATATACTTACCACTTTCCTTGGTCAAAGTGTTCACTGGCGTTGTGGCTGGTCCAGCGCCTGCGCTGTTGAACGCTCTCACGCTCACTGAATACCTACAGGTTTTATTTATTTATTTATTGGTTTTGTTTTTGGTATTTTATTAACTAATCATTATAAAAATAAGTTTAGGTGCATTTACACATGATTCACTTACTAGAAAAAAATATAATGTTATTAGCTTCTAATACTTCATAATAAAGTACAACTGAGTACCTATGTGATCTTAAAATAAAATATATACCTAGTATAATGTTCCAGTCCTTCGATTATATACTTTGTGACTTTTCCTCTAACCGTTGAGAACTCCATGCCCACATTGACGCCACTAGCGAGAGAACCATCTGCCGACGCCCACCACCAGACTGTGTAACCCAAGAGTTCACCGTTCCAAGATGACTGAGGTGGAGCCTAGATAGTAATGATTGAGCTTACAGAAATGGCTAATAGCTTTAACATTCTATAAAGCCTAGATGTATATAAAAATAGAATGTCTTAGGTAATAAAAACTGTCCCGAAAAAACAAAGGGTTTTATACAAATAAAAAATGTAAGTAAGTAATAATTCTACGTCACAAATCACTTAAAAACGTTGGGCCATATTTAAAACCCTTTCTAAACAAAGTGAACTAATATATTTTGCGTTTTAACCCGTTAAAGGAGTTTTATTTAAATCAATATTTCTATACATAAGTAAAGTGATTTTAATATAATTTGTTTTTTTTCTCTTGTCCCATGGTGAAGTACTCTCTTTATCGGCCAACCGGGATATCTACATTTATTATTTTATACTTATTATTTTTTGATCAAAGATAATACTTTTGTAATTACGAACTAAAGTAAAATAAAAAGTTTAGATTAAATTATGGGGAGAAATACATTTCTTTTATTCTTACTAAACAGCAACTATTAATATGTAGTTTTCGCAATCAGTTTAAAAAGCTCGATTTTCGAGGCGATGCAAGCGATAATCGCGTACTTCATTAGCATACAGAACGGTTTGTTAAACTGATAAAAATACTATAGTCAGTTCAAATACATAAAAACGTTACACGTACTTATTACACTCTGTAAGATTACATCCGAAAATGAAAAGCCTCGACTCAGGTGGGACTCGAACTCACGACCGACAGTGGGAGAAACGTATAATCGATACGTAAAAAACATGGTACACTCAGAACAGAACTATTTTTTATTACACTATTTATTAACTATTAATATAATGAAGACCTACGAAAAATTCGTGGGATTTTTTTATATGCTTTTGAATAAAAATAACACTGACATTTTATAAAACCTCTCATGAAATCTTATGAAAGAATCTCAGTTGATTCATCATACATCCTCACTATTAATAATTCCAAACTCACAAACACATACTCACCAATGCCCCATTTTTTAATATGCGAAAGAGCTGGAAACCTTGGCAAGGAAACCTTTATTCACTTAAAAGGATTTTGAGATCAAAATTAGATTGATGTAAAAAGTAACGTAATAAATACTTTTTATTTCGAAAAATCTACTAACCTGCCATGCCAGTTCTATAGTAGAAGGTTTAGGGGCGGATGCGCGAAGACTAATAGGTGGTCTCGACGGTGGTTCATGTAGAGTGAGAGCGAGAATCGCTCTTGTGTGCGCAGATGCAAACTGCGCTGTTACAGTGCGCGCGCGCACGAGATATGGCGTTGCTGGTTCTAAACCCGATATCGTAGCGCTTTCGGAGCTATGAAAAAGTATATTATATAATACATGTATAAAGCAGGATAATTAATATTTTATCCTCATTTACTAAGATTAGTTATGAGTTTTATTCATGTTTATATAAAACTAGATGTGAGCGCGACTTTGTCCGCGTGATACAATTAGTATGAGCTTCGAAATGTATTTTTGTGGACCTCCTCATCTTTATAATCTTTCCACAATTCCGGCTGTTTCTTTGATCCTATTGGTCGCAGCATGATGATTTACATCCTATAGCCTTCGTCGATAAATGTTCTAACCAACACAAATAATTTTTAATTCGTTCCTGAGATTAGTGCGTTCAAACAAACAAACTCTTTAGCAATATTAGTATAGATAAAGTACATAGATATTAAATAAAACCTACTCAGCGTATGAATCAATCGCTGGTGATGAAACAGACACATTGTGCGTTTCGGCATCTCTCCAGACATCAGGGCTTGAAGAATCGTGTCTTCTGTACTGCAACATGTAGCCGAGAACTGGAGAGTTTCCATCATAAGGTCTTCGCCATTGTAGACGGATGGAACGCGATGTTGAGTCCAAGACGCGGAAATTCGTTGGAGGTTCTGGCGGCTCTAGAGTATAAATATGTACATGTATAATATATAACACCTTTAAATAAAAGAGGCGTGACCACGACTGCTGCAACAGTATTTAACATAAAACACTAATAGTTGATCTATAACGTCTTAGTGATAAGGAAAAATGATTCTGAAAAAAAACATTACTTCAATATAACATCGAGTAACTATTCGCTACATTTTCTATAGCGTATTTTTTCTAACTTGGCCAAATTCCACAGCAAAAATGGCCGATTTCAAATCATAAACTCTCTCCATGGTTTGAATTCGGCCATTTTTGATAACCTTTTATAAGTTGCCACTGATGACACAGGGATAAATAAATATCCATTATATAGTATGGACTGTATTATGTTAATTAAATTATTCATACCTTGTACCCCCAAATGTACAAAATGGTCAGATCTGCCGTAAGGATTTGATGCTTGGCAACGATATACTCCGGAGTCCCTTCGATCTGCCCTTTCCACAACCAACTCACTACGTAGACCTTCAGCACTCCGAGTCTCTGATATGCTCATCCTACAAAAAAAGATAAAAATACATTTCATAAGAAAGGAAGAAATTTAAACAATTATAGTTCTAAATAAAACATTTTATGGTTTAAAACGCGATGTATATTACTTAAACTTATTTTAACTAGGGCCTGAAATAAAAACTGGATTTATTTAAACTGCAATGCAGAATTACGCGGAACTCGAGGCACGTAAAGAAAATTATAATATAATGATTATTAATGCAAAAATAAGATCTAATTGTTTTACATACTGTATAGAAATCAAATACTGTCTATAGTTTACGCGAGTAGTACACATTTAAATAAAACACAGTTAGTAACTAATATAGCGCGTTTTAAACCGTTAAAGTGTTTTATTTAAATGTATAGAAATCGCCAAACCAGTATTGAGACAAAACGACCAAACTAACAGAATATACATACAACATAATACTCGTTTAACAGTAATTAGAAACAAAACAACTAAATGTAATATAAAGGTCTCTTTCCAGGTGAAAGAGAAGCTCCTGAAATCTTAATAAAAAAAAACTGCAATGCAGAAAGAACTAAAAGCTTTCATTAGTTTTTTAATTAATCGTTATAAAAAAAATATCACTTTTTACTAACAGAGGCTTATAGTAATTTTTCTATTTTTTAGTAAAGTTTATATAAAAAAATCAGCACGTTGAATATTTCGTCTAACAAAATACAATGTTGAAAAGTTTGTTACAAACTAAAAACAACAGGAAAACTAGAAACAAGCGCTGTGGGTCCGTTGCCACGGGCTGAAAAGTTTTATTTTTCGTAATCAGTTGAGCATTACGTGTTTGTTTGAACAATGTGTGATATATAAAGAATATTAAACTGTCAATACTAGTAAGAAATACTAATATGTTTACTTGACATTAGTATGTTTCCCTAAATATACACAAAAACCATTAAATATTAATTACGGTTAAATACAAAAAAAAATATGTATATTAATAAGGTTGTTTATTTTTAAATAAGTTTATTATTAAACAAATCAAATATTACAATAAACAATTGGGTGGTAGGAAGCGAAAATTTCGTCTGGGTCACGGACCACCGTCCAGAGATGAAAAAGCCATGAAGACAAATCACATTTCGTTTTTAGTTTGTGGACTTGCGACATTCAAAGCCAAAATAAGTCGACAGCATTTCATCTTCCATCAAGTGGAACTCATGCTTGTCTGTCGTCCTTTATGATAAAAAATACGTAGCTAACTTGTTGATTACAGATATTACATACAATTTGGTTCAGTATAAGGTTTGGTTAAGCACGACGATTATAAAGAAACTGCAGGCATGTTCTGGGAACGAAGCGCTTCAAACAGAACGGAGTGGAAGCGTATGGAGGAGGCTTTTACCGCAAAATGCGGACCCGACATATACAACACTTGACAAATACGAATTGTAAACGGAACGCAAAATATGTAAATATGTTTGGTAATAAAAAGCTTTTTTATTTTTATTTTATTATTATATTTATAAGGTTTGGTAGTAATAAAAAATCACATTTCTGTCAATAGCAGGAACAAGAAAGATTACTGCTCTTCACAAACAAACAACAATGTATTCCTTCGTAAGATAGTAGAAATATTACCTATAGTCGGAGTTAGGCAGAGGTCTTCCAGAGTGGCTCCAGGCGATAGCCAATGGGCTGTCCCCTCGAGCTACGCAAACCAAACGGACTGTGTCTCCCAATTTTGCAGTCACGTTAGCTGACTGCGTTTCGAAGCGAGCCGGTTCTATAACAATTTTCATCTATATAACGCCAGATATAATAAACTATGTAAAAAAATATGGGTTGACATTTTGTAGTGCAATCTGTACGAATTTCTTCAACTATCCCTAAAAAAGTATTATTCATAAAATACAATACTCATTTGTATACAACGTGCCAATTTATGTTGTCCACTTTTCCTGCGTCTTATAAATATTCGATCGGGCATTGTAGCAGTTTACCATTTGTCACTGATCAAGAAAGTGCACAGTACTGCTAAAGAAGTTTTTGTTTCGATAAGGAAAAGAAAATTTGTGTCCTACTACTACTAGTCAATATAAAACAGTAAATAAAAATTTAAAACTTGTTATTTAAATCTCCCCTTACTAGTTTCTAGTGATTATACATATTTTAATGTGAACGAATAAAATGCTTTAAAATAAAACAATATGGTATAGTAATCATAAATTCAAAATGTGTAATATTATATGGAGGGTAGATTTTTATTTGCCAAGTTACAAAATAAACATTTTACAAGGTATTCCTATGTAATTATCGAGTTATTTTAAGAAGCTAACAATATATTTTTGATCAGACATTGAACAAACAATATGTCGTAATAATATCTTGAATATAATAATAATATGTCGCAGCGAAACTTTACGTACGTGTTATCAAATATTTGAATCGATATAAGTAATAAGTATTGTAAAAAAGGTTAATTAATATTATGAAGAAAATAACAACTGGAATCCAGTCAAAAATGTAATTAACACTCCTTCGAAGTGCTACGCGTCTACGGCACAGACCGATCAATCATTTCAAAGTCTCGTCGACACAGTCTATTGGAAAAGTGACTTTGACCTATTTTAAGTAATTGCTTTTAATAAGTGCGCAGTTAATTAGTAATTAACTTTTTCATAGCGCTACACGTACGAGAAACTAAATAACAATTTTTTTAATTTCAGCAATAAATACTAATTTTTTAAAGTTCTTTATTATTTTTTATAGCAAAATTTATATTGTATCGGGCTAGATATTTATCTTTAGTAAAAATTTATTAAACTTATTTGAAAATTTCTTAACTAGGCCCAATTTCGGATGCTTGAACAATTGCGTTTTAAACTTAAATTTTTTAAATTGAATAATGCGTAAACTAACAGTAGGTTCAATATGTTGGTATTTTTTAATAGGTACACAACTCTTGATTCTTAATTTACTTATATTCATTGTACATTATATTTTCTAAATATTATTTTGTATGAAAATGACACAAACCTTTTATGTATAAATATATTAGTATACCACCGAGGAAAAATTCCCGACCTCACCAATAGTTCATGCTTAAACCACTACTACTTGCCAACAGAAAATATAGCTAAAATATTTTTAATTTCAGCTATATTATCACTGTGCCCAGTTAAAAATTGCAATCTTAACATGAGAAATACAAAAACCGGAACTAGATTTTTATATACATACGTATTAATATAGTATAATTTATACTAATATCATAAAGCTGAAATTTGTTCGTTTGTTGGAGAGGCACTAATCTCAGGAAATACTAGTTGGAAATGAACAATTTTTTTGTTTTGTTTGGACAGTTGGAAGTGCGGGAAATGTGAAAAAATGTTTCATCGTTGAGGGCTGCCGTTGCGTGCGCGCGCGAAAATTGTTTAAAAAAAAAACTAAAAAAAATATGAGAGAATGATTTTTTTTTAAATTATCTAAAAATTGTGAATATCTCAGAAGTACGACGGGACGCGGACGACGATATGGGTAATAGCTATAGGTACCTAATTTATAATGCTAAGGTTGTTTGCAAATAAATATGATGCTTAAAATAATTATCCCACGAGGAAGACGTCGCGGACATAGTTGGTTATTAAAATAAAGAAATGCGAGATAAGAAAATCCGAATTAGATAAGAATTATCCTACATAATACTCGTATCTATACTTACTGAACTTTCTATTAGCCCGTGTATAACATTTTACAACCCACTGTAAGCTAAAACACTTACCATTTACATGTATATTGAGGGTCTTGGATAGAGGTGGAGCGACGCCATTGTCCGCTCTGCAGCGATATTTTCCAGAATGTTCAGCGCGAGCCGAATCCAGCCTCAGCGAGCCGTTACTAAGTACCACTGGATCCGAAACAGCTCCCAAAGCTGTTTCTGCACTGCCTTATAAACGAAAAATAGTGTTAATCTATTTTAAGCCATCGCGTACTTCGACTGTGCGGGGATTACTCGTGAAAGCTTCCCAAGTTTATGTAAGGTGTTAGAAGAACGTACTCATATGTTATATTTTAGTCCGTTATTACTTTAGACTTAGATTAGACTTAATATTTTTAGAATATATTCAGAAGTATTTGTATAATTATGTTGGTTATGGAAAATTATGGACAATAAATACAAAAGATGTCTGAATCTCTATAGTATAGTATCAGCTTATAAACAATAGAAACAAGAGACTTTTGTGTAATGATGTAGTGCAAAATGTAACGAATATGTTAATTTAGACTTAAAATGTATCTTTATAGATTATTCCATTTGAACTTGCATATATAGAAACCTAAGAGAATATATTGTATGACCAATTTATAAAAGATTATTACTATTTTTAATGTATAAGTGTTTGTATAATAAACAAAACATAAAACGGTAAACGGAATATCTATCGAGGTGGGACATTAGTCCCAACGTGGCTGAGTGGTTTCGTCTTTAGACGCAACTATATGGTTTATTTACATATTATAATTGTAGGATACGTTTTTATTGTAATAATAGGTATAAATAATAAAACAAGTATCAACTTAAAAAAACTTTTAAGTTAAACGGTTTTATTTTTCGTGAACTGAAAACTAAAAAAAAAAATTAGACATAATCATCGTATTTTACTAGTGTAGCCTATTTCATTTAATACCCGTATTAAGGGGGTTAAGGAAAAACACGTAATCCGCCATTTTGTATCGGCGACTATCTTGGATTTATAATGTTAATGATTTATTATTATTAATATTTTATTATATTGTTTTGTCATCTAAATTAAATGAGTACGCCAAATTTCAGATCAATCTGACAACGGGAAGGTACTTAAATTTCAATTTCTAATTTTGACCCAAATAAATAAACTCCGTCCGTCGAGCTAAATAAAACCGTTTAATAAACGTTTAAATTCCTATTGTATTCTATAAGAGAAATAATGTTCATACAAAGTCATAAACAAGTCTAGTCCAACAAAGGATCTAAGATCAGTCATTCACAGCTGAAATGAGATTGTAGAAAAACATAGTAAAAGAGCTTACCAGAGAATTTTGTCCAATAAATAGCGGGTGATGGATGTCCGCGTGCATCGCAGCTCACCGTCAGCGATCCATTTAAGAGCACGGCGGCATCTGACGGCTCAATTTGCCAGTATGGTGGAACTGACAGAAGAAATATTGCGCTCTTAGACTATAAGATTTTTAAAATCATATTTATTTACGAAGCTCACGCTTTTGTACGCTCGGCTCAAATAATTGCGCTGCGTTAATCATTGTTGCTGGGTTTTGAATTCAGTCGGAGGAGGACAGACAGGCATTTGGTTCATGGAAGGTGTTATTCCTCAGATATATAACAATTAAATAATACTGTCGATCTATTTTAGATATTCGAAACCGGATTTTTCAGTCCTTAAATAAAATCTATTTATTATTTGACACACACGTGGAATATTCTCCATAAACCACAAATTTTTTGGACTTACTCAAGTACAAACAATATTACGCAGTCTTTATATGGCAAGATATAGAAGTGAATTTAAAAAATAGCAGTAAAGACAAGTAATAAAACATTTAAATAAACCACATTGACGGCTTAAAACGCGAATTATAATATAAGCTATTCATAACAACAATCCACAGTGAAAGCTTTGCAGCGATCGTGGTCACGGGGAGAATGGTTGAGAATTAAAATATTATTAAGTCCTATATGTAAATTGTGATTACAAATTAATTGACAATTCAAGGCTTGTATATTATCGCAGAATTGAGTAAATTTATATAGCGATAGTGCGCTTTATAAAATTCGATAATTGATATCGGATTATATTAATTGGATTTTAATTATAACGAGCCGGTATTTACTCTCACGTTTAAATCTAGTGTGGTCTTAAATTAATTTATATCGTTCGTGGAGGCATTCTACAATAAGATTTAAAAATACAGATTTTAAATAAAACACTTAACGGTTTAAATCGCGAAATATATTCGGTAACTTATTTTTAACTGCCGTTAAAAGTTAAAAATCCGTTAAAAATGGTATCCGTTAAAAGAATATAAGAGTTACAACCCGTTAAAAGTGGTATATAACTCGAGAAAAGTACGTATTAGAAAAGTCAATAAAATACTATAGGCAGTTTTATAACGATTCAAAGACACAAACTGGATTCGAACCCGTAGGTTTAGGTGTACACAAAGCACCTTGCAACCAAAACTGGTTGCAACTTTTTTTTATTTAATCTTTTTTTGTCGTTAATATTCGTATAAATTCATAGTTCGTATTTTAAGTGCAATTTTAACGCTGGCTTATTTCTATACAAAGTCATTTTTCTAAGTGGTTTAAAATTTACTGCTTAACGTGAGTTTCACGATAAGTTACCGCTAAGAAAGTCGCAAGTGTGACGGAAAAGTTATAATTTGCTACAGTCCAGACAAGATTATGGACTTGCACGACGTTACATCGGAAAATGTTGTTTATTACAAGGAATAACTCCTGGCAACTGTTTATTTTTCGCGTTTTCTGAACAAAAACATAGACCATAAGTGTACATATCTACAAAGAAGATAACGTGTTCTTAGTTTCGTCTTTTGTAGATAAATATGCAATTAGAAATAAAAAAGTGAGTTATTGTTTTTATTTTCGTGTAATTTGTATTTAAATATTTGCCAGACATTAAGGTTTAACATGTAAAATCATTGACAAAAACATGGATTTGACTGGAATCAAGTCCTCTACCCGTTGGTATCTATCTATCATTGGACTAACAAATTCATTCAAAATCAAATATAAATCACAATGCGTTGATTAGTATATTGCCAAATACCATTTCACCAATGAGCTCAACAATACAAAACTATGACTTAAGTGGTATGAGTGAACAGCTTACCTTTGATGGCCAGTTCAGCGGATGCATTAGCTTTACCAGCTGTGTTGGTCACTACACAAGTATAAATGCCGCTGTGTGCTGCGGTGAGACTTTTGAAAAGGAGCATACTGTAGAACTCCGCGCCACGTTCGTCGACCTAAAGTTTTGTTAATTTCAGAGTAAAAAGCTTGGAACATACGAGCTTTAGCCTAAACGGAAAAACAAAACACGTACAGAAGCCATGGTTTTATGTTTACGCCCTTACGGGAATATATACCTTTTTAGTATTTAGCTTTTTAGCTGGTTTTTCTTTTTCTTTCATAATATATAGATAAATAATATGTGAAACCTCTATTTCCACAGTGCTATTCGATTTATCGAAAACGGATCAGACTGATCACTGCTGGACCTGTCGCGTTTCACTCAGTGCTTGACTGTTGCTAATATTAGATATAGATGCGGTTAGTTAAATCTTGTAGGGAATAAATTGTTTTGGATAAACTATTTAAGAAATAATTAGAATCTTTAAATTCTATCTTATATTTAGATTAGTTTCATTAAATTTAATGCATAAAAAAGCAAAATTCAATACTGTATATAGTTTACGCGAGTAGTACACATTTAAATAAAACACTTTAACGGTCCCCGGGCCCGAAACGTCGGGCCGAAGTTATAAATAGGTTTAACTAATATATCGCGTTTTAAACCGTTAAAGTGTAAAATATTTTTGTTAGCATTGATGTACATAAACTTGTTTCTTGTTAACCTGCAATAAACCTGATATAAAGGTATAAGTATCCATATTAAATAAAGAATTTTAAAAATCAAAACACCTTTATAGAATGTAAGGCTTTCCAACAATAATCAATTTCCCAGTTAAAGCAGTCCGGAAGAATCGTCATTCCACGGTCCAAATCTATTCTGCTATAAACAATATCCTTTCGAAATTACCTGCAACACGCTGGATATTGGCATTTGATCTTTGAGCCAGGAGAAGTACACAGGCATGTCGCCCGAAGTGACTGTGCAGGTTAACTGCGACCGGTCGCCGGATCGCAAGCCAGGTGGAAACACGATTGGCGACAGTACCGGCGGTGACACCACGTTTATTTGCACCTGGGACACAATATTTAACTTTTATATCGATTATAGGATATCGCAATATATATATGTTTTAAAGATTTTTTTCTCTAAGGATCACGTAATATTCAAATGTTTACAGTCATCGTAGTTAAAAAAGTAATTTAATTAACTAGGCGTTATTCCTTACTCTCTTAAATGTTATACTATTTTTAAAGCAATCAGTCTGAGCTTGGGGTAATGACAGTCCGTTTTAATATCTAGTTTGGTCTCTACCTTTTTCTTAATAAGAGTTGTTTGACTGTGTGATAATGATCGTTTTATGAAGGTAAATTAGTATATTAGTGAATGGAAAACAGCTATTTGAAGATGCACTTGGGTTTTCCAGGAGTTCGATCGTCGTAATTAAGCTAAGGTTCAAACCGCTTCACGATTACAATTGACATCATCAGATGTCACACGATCGGTCATCATGAGTGGACGACATCCTATTAGCTCGAAAAGCTTATAGAATTAATAAATATGTGCAAGGTTATATTTTTGTAACAGTATGTTTTGTATTAAAAGATCATTTTTTTAAATGGAGTTAAGGTAATATGAAATTGTCTATGCCTGTTTCATGCAAACGTTCAAAGATTTTCAAATCGATCATCTTTTATATTATTATATTTCCACATTCATTTGAGTAGATCCTCTAGTATCTCTAGTTTCTTGTAGTACCTCTCTTCTTGCCAGTTCTCCACCAGGAGTCATAACGGAGCAGGTCCAACCCCCCTTGTCCCTATTCTTATCCACGTTCACAATAGTCAGCCGACCATCTATTTGTTGGTATCTCGCATCGGTCCCCACGCCACCTTCCCATTTTACCGAGCTGCAATACGAAATTGAAGTGAAATCTACAACATAAAATGTATAAAAGATCTGATTTGATCTAAGATTGGATTTAAGCTCAAGATCTCGGGTGCGGAAATAAAAATACGTATCTATGTTTACGATGGAAACAATGTACTATTTTTGTTTCTGCAATAGTGTTAATTTAAAGAAAACATCGAATTTGTATTTTGACGAGTGTATTGGTGCAATGGTGTACGGCTAATAATCGACGGGGTTCAATCCCACCAGGCCCGACATTTTTGTAATCAATTTATAATATTCTGAAACGTGTTAGACTTGAAACGTGGTTGGAATATCGATCGAAAATACTTACTCTATCGGAAATCCGTAGTATGGACACCATATTGAAATCTCTGAGCCAGCTACAGCTTTCACTGGATTCATAGCTCGGATGTAGGGTGGACCTAAAGGAAGGCAATTCAAGGGCCTTAGGCATGTTAAACTACTTGTAAAATATAAGTTATATCCGTTTCTATTCGAACTTCAAACTTTAATAATAGATGTTTAATTTCAAAATCAACAAAATTAATAATCTTTATAGTGTTGGCTTTCGAATTATTTACGTAAACCAAAAAGAAAAGAACATAGCGCCTTCGCCTAAATATAGTTTGTGGACACTATGTGTGCAGCAATTAATTTCCGATTATACATATTAGTTTTAGTTAAAACGCAATGCGTAGGGATTTGTTCCATGTAGAGATTTTTAATATAAAAAAGTAATTCAAATATAAAAATGTATAAAACAACATGGCGGTTCACAAATATAATATTGGTGTGTTTTAAACTTACATAGATTCTATACTATGTTCTATTTACAAATTAACGTATAATTACAATTTTGACTAAGACAAACGCTTACAATGCGCCATAGGTGCAAGTATCATAATGTTGAAAAAATCGACGACGACGTGCACGACACGGTAGCTCTACTGGTTAGAGCTACACCAAGGGATGCCGGTTCGAGTCCTATCCGTGTCGTAATTTTAAGCTTACCATAAACATTTAGTCTAGCCGCATGTCCAACTGAGCCATGGGCGTTAGTAGCGCGGCATTCGTAGCGGCCGCCGTGTTCAACTCTTGCGCCGTTCAAAGAGAGCGTTGACAGAATGTAATTGTTACTCCCACCAAGACCTGATGGACCACTCTCACGGCCCTCGGAGATTATAGCACTGTCGAAATGAGAAAAAGTTGAAGCAACTAACTAGGTAAAAAATTATGAGAAATTGTGATTTGTAAACTTTATAATATGTTATTATTAAATACTGTCTATAGTTTACGCGAGTAGTACACATTTAAATAAAACACTTTAACGGTTTAAAACGCGATATATTAGTTAAACTTATTTGAAAATGATTTTTAACTTCGGCCCGACGTTTCGGATGCTTTGCAGGAGCCGTGGTCACGGGGAGACTAAAGATGGAGGATCTCTCTAACGTCAAAGTAAAAAACTGCAAATTCAACCGTGACCAAGACTGCTGAAAATCATCTTAAGCGACGGGGCATTAAAATAAATTACGAAGAAGTTGAATTATATATTGAGCGATTGAAACCGTCAAAAGTGTTTTAATTTTATTGTAAATATCAATATTTGTGATGCTACATTATGTTTTGAAAACTGAGCATAGTTAAAAATTAAGAAGCATAGAAAAGCGTGGGTTTGATGCAAAATGATATGTTTCAACCGTTTTTTGGTTGGAATATAAGATAAACTTACAACAAAACTTCATTTATGAAATTCCCTGTAGTTAAATATAACGAACAATTTCGAGAAAGTACTTTCTATAATAAATATTTAACGGTTTAAAAGGTAAAATATATCAGTACTTATTTTCCATTCATTTTAACGATTTAGCTGCAACGAAACATCGGATCGTTGTTAAAATAATAAAAAATATCTATTAAATCGTTATCTAATATTTCGCATTTTAAACATTCGTTTTCAATGATCGCGAAAACTACAGACAATACTTAATATAACTGTATAATATTTGTACTATCAATATTCACGTTTTACTTCAATAGAATATTACAATTTATGACCCCGTTACAGTTGAAAAATATTCTGAGGATATGAAGAAAAATGTAGAAGTAAAACGGGATAGAATTGAATATTCATACTGACTCTATGATATTATGCTGAATCGGGGAAAACCTTTTAATAAAAGAGAATTGAAAGGGTCTGAAGCTCTCAAGTATCTTTATAACAACATCTTTGCTTCTATATTACATTTTGCCACAGATAATGCGGAAAGTGTAGTTGTTTTATATACTCCATAGTTTACGCTACATTTTACATTTAAATAAAATATTTTTAACGGCTTAAAACGTAAAACATATTATGTTCACTTTTTTATGACTGTATATTGGATGTACAGCAGCCGCAATCAGGGGCCCTGTTTCCCGTGACCTCGTGAAAATAGTTTTTTTTTTGTATCAAAAAAAAATATATATTTTCACTCCTACTGTAACTAAATCAATATAAGCTGGATGATAATTCAATCATAACATAAGGCAGATCGACAGCGCAACCTAATCAGTGGTCTAAAATTGTATTCGTAGCATTAGAACTTTAAGAATAATATTGTGATCTTACCCGTGATGGGAAGGAATTGGCTGTCCATCTAAAGACCATCGGAACCTGGGTGGTGGTTCACCAACCGCAGAGCACTTTAAAGCAACCTGCGCGCCAGGTTGAACAGCTTGTTCGATAAAAGTATACACCAGTTCCGGCCGTGAATCTAAAACATTAAAATTCGAATAAGAGATGTTTTCAAAAGCGATGCCAAAACATTAAGTTTTTAGGAGACGTTCTACTGATCAGCGTAGAGTTTCCTTCCGGGGTCAGCGCTGATTTTCAATTGTATATATATTATATAAATAGATATTTTCCTTCTTTGTTCCTGTATTTCGACACTCGTCTTGCATACTATATATTATGAAAAACGATAAATATTGATTGTGAAATATTTTTCACTGCCTATTTAAATATCGGTCCAGATTCCGCTCACTTGAGTGGAGCAGGCATAATATTTTTGTCTGTGTTATAAATCGATTTTACAGAAAATATATTGACTTCATTGTCCTTTGAAATGAGATACGAAATCAAACTATATAAAATGTTGATCACAGCTTTAAATTCCAAATAGGTCAACTATTATTTACAATATAATGTTCAATTTATATTATACTAGCTGTGTCAGCGACTTCGTCCGCGAGAATAGTTGTTTTGTGCATCTAAATTTGTTTTTGCAAACCCCTACATCTTTATAAATTTAAGCTGCCCACGACATCGGTCGCGTCCCGTCGTTCTTGCAAGTTAATTTTAAAAGATAGACATACAGCGTCGCGGACTTTTTTTAGATCATGTAAAGAGGAATAATTCTCTCGTACATATTTTTTGGGTATCTTGAACTGTTTATGCAGCGTACGCCTCGGAAACCCATAATGATGAATATTTTTTCATTTTTTTTTCACATTTCCCGCTGTATCTTCGCTTCTATTAGTCACAGCGATGTTTTAAAGCCTTCCTCGATAAATGCTCTAACCAACACAAAAATAATTTTTCAATTCGAACCCGTAGTTCGTGAGATTAGCGCGTTCAAACAAACTCTTCATCTTTATATATTAAGTATAGATAGATAGATATGAATACAATAAACATTAAAACTTAAATAAGTATGTAAAAGTATTATACAGTCTTGATTCGTTTGTTATATAGAGAGAAGCCGAAAAACAGTCGTTACCAAACATGAACATTTTATTATAGGAAATATTTCTTGCCTGAAGACCGCTTTGCTCGTTTCCGTTTGTAGGTGGGAATACAGCCAGCCTTCACCGCTAATGAGCACCATATACCTGGGAGCAATGTACGAATAAAATATTTGTGTCTACAAAAAATAACTCTATTTACACATACATGTATTTGGAATTGTATTAGTAATATACTCGAGCAAAGCTTAAATAACCACCGTCTCTTTAGCCAAATGGTTGTGTTGCGTTAAGTGCGAGTGGTCTTGGGTTCGAATCCCAAGAAAACAATACATTGTTTCGATCGCGCAGGGCACAGAACTATGATTAACTGCTTGCCTGTAATAAAACCGATCAGTAAAAAAAAAAGTTCAAATTGTAACTTCTTTTGAAAGGGTTAGCCGTTATGTTACGCGTTACTGTGTTAGTCTATCTAAGTATACGTACGATATCTTTCGTATACGGATTATCAATATTTATTCAAGTGGATTAGTTTAAGTTTTATAATTCAGTCATATTTATATAAACTCTTTAATATTATATAAATTTCATGATTTTAAATAAATATGTGAAATAGAAATAAAACAATTTATCGGTTTCAAACGCGATATATATTAGTTAAACTTATTTAAAAAATATTTTAACTGATATATATAGCGTTTAAAACCGTTAAAGTGTTTTATATAAATGTGACTACTCGCGTAAAATACAGACAGTATTCCAACATCTGAAATGTTAAATGTGTTTAATTTTAGTGAAAAGTTGCTATTAAGCAAACCGAACCAAACCTTCACGCGTTTGTGACTATAGAGCAGTTTCGTTAAATCTTTGTGTATTCTTTATTGATGTCCTTATTTCTATTTTAAGGTTTGTCACATAGACACACAGGGAAATGTCGTAACTATGGAGAGCAACTTACTGTAAACGATTCTCCGATATATCTCTATTACCTATCCGTCTTTTCTTGGCGGTAATACATAAACAATAAAAGTAAGACGCCTCTAGAAATATTCCATAAAGGATGTCGCGCGGAATGTGACTCGTTGAAAAATTCATTCTTTCCCCGTTTTACTATCCGCATTCGTTCGGAATTTATATCGCCGTAAATCGTGCGACCAAGCTAAAAATTTACAACGAATGGGAACTTTTCACTGGATACAGTACAGAATTTCTGATAGTCTTTGTTGGATGCACCGTTATTGTAGAAGTGGTGAATATAAAGCATGTATCCGGGAGTATTGGTTTCTTTAACAATCAGTTTTCAAAACATAATGTAGTATCACAAATATTGATATTTACAATATAATTAAAACACTTTTGACGGTTTCAATCGCTCAATATATAATTCAACTTATTCGTAATTTATTTTAATGCCCCGTCGCTTAAGATGCTTTTCAGCAGTCTTGGTCACGGTTGAATTTGCAGTTTTTTACTTTGACCTTAGAGACATCCTCCATCTTTAGTCTTCCCGTGACCACAATTGCTGCAAAGCATTCGAAACGTTGGGCCGTAATTAATATAATTTTCATATAAATTTCACTTATATATATCGCGTTTTAAACCGTTAAAGTGTTTTATTTAAAAGAACTACAGTCTTTCTTAGCAAAAGATTGCTTATATTTTGTTATCGATATAATATTACTTCATAAAATATACAAGTAAATTTAAATGATTTATTAAGTACAAACGTGTGAGGTCATTCAGAATGTGTACGGGCAAAAGATATGATGCGATAACCCCCTACGATAGATGCTTCACAAAGCGAGGTTTTGACATACGAAAAAAGCACCACCCACTACACGCCCGCCTCCACAAAGATGGATGTCCGGAAAATATCCGGGGAACTATTCCAATTTCAAAAGTTCCATTCTACCGAAGTAACCGCTAGAGTAGTCTAGAATGGACTCGAAAACTGATCTCGTCAAAGTCACGTTTTCTTCTAAGTTAGTAAAGCCTTTTTGCAATCAAAGCGCCGTATCTATATAAAACTCCCTAGTCGCATCCCTGTTAAACGGATTAACCGATATTTATGACATTTTATAAGCTGTTGTATTAAGTAGATCTGAAAATCGGCTACAGTACTGTTATTTGAGTTACATACCACATCCTAACACAATTACAATAAGTTTTTTTTTGACATCGTTTGTTGGATCAGCCAGAATACAAATATTTTAAGATTCGTTTTGGATGTTCTGGTGTGAATTAAAATTTGGGTAACATTTCTGTACACGGAGACCTCGTATTCGATAATTTTGCTTATTGATTGAAATTATTTTAACTACGGCCCGACGTTAAAAATAATTTTCAAACAATTTTAACCAAAATATATCAGAGTTAACCGTTAAAGTTTTTGTTAATTGTGTATTACTCGCGTATTTAATTTTGCATGATTTACATGTTACACACTTATCAACAAAAATACACGAACAATGAAATTAAAAAAGAAACATAGTGTACGACTAATTAGTAGGTATGTTTTATAATCTAACAAATTGATATTTGTAACATTCATATAACCTCATCCATCTAAACCCAGGTACTTTATATATAGCAAAGTTACACGAATATAATATATTAAGTGGTCGTAAGAATTTAATCCCGGGTTCCATTTGGGGAGTTTATCTGGCACGAAATGCGTTTGGGCTAGAGTTCTGTGGGTAAATTAAATACACTAATTTAACGTACCTTAACAGACATTCTACTGACCTAATCTCATAGTTTAGTTACTCTTTTGTTTAGGTTTTAGCGGTTCCAGAATGTATTGAAAATTAAATGTATTTTGCGTTTTACAATCATTCATGTAATTAAGATTCAGGAATATTTTTTATAAAATAAAATCATTATAAAAATTGCGTTGCAATAATTTGACGTAGGTTGTGTAGGTCGCGTTTAGCGTAACGCGTTACGACGTCAGGATGTTTTGTATAAAATTACTAGCTGAGCCGGCAAACGTTGTTTTGCCATATAAATAATTTTACTAAAATGTCTATTAAAAAATAAGGGTTGATCGTAGAAGAGTGAAAATGAGGATTGAGTATTTTTGTATGTTGTATCATAAAAAAATATGAATTAAAAATTTTGTCTAAAAAAAAAAATTAAGGGTGAACAACCTTTATCACTTAGGGGGATGAAAAAGATAGATGTTGTCCAATTCTCAGACCTATTGAATACACATATGAAATTTGGTGAAAATCGGTCGAGCCGTTTCGGAGGAGTTCAAGTTCGAACACCGTGACACGAGAATTTTATATATTAGATATTGGTCAGTACTCTCCGGTCAGTGAAAGGCGTCTTGTCGCTTAATGACAAACTCCATGTTGACGATAAAATGTTTTAAAAATATATCGTGCCGTTTACAGGAAGGATGCCGAAATTACATTAATATCTAATTCTCTATCTTCTCGTTTGTGATAATTAAAGTAAATCCCGTTTCCCTTATCTGCCGGGAATGGGAAATAAGAATTGATTTAAGATTAGGACCAGACTACCTGTCAATAGCCGTCTCTCATCTCTTAATGACAGTTTGTGAAACGTCAATGTCACTACATCGACCATACTGAAGTCGCAAGTGTTACTTGACTATCCAGTCGATTTGGTTAATGTTATTACATCTATAGATGGCGGCACTGAGACACTGCTATGACGTCTGACAAATCTTCGTATGAGGCAGTTGGTTTACCCGGTTTATAATTTCCTTTTCGAACTCGTTTTGTGTCCGTATTCATGACCATCTCTGGCATATACATTTGATATATTTACGTAAGCAGGTGATAAGGGCGCACTGATAGGATTTCTTCAACCATTTGCCCTAAGCTAGGGCCTTATTTTTCTCTCTGAGTGAGTAGGAAATTTATGAGCGACCCCAAAGCAATAAAATACCTTGCGAGAAAATGAAGGAGCAAATCGCAATATATTTGTTCCTTGGTGGCTAGGAGAAACCCATTTGCCCTTCGCGCGGGAAAATATTATTTCTTACTAACAATGCGAGATGGAAGGTGATATATATACTTATGGTACACGTACGTAATGTTTTATTACGTTGGGAACGCAATTTCGGATAATAACAATAATCATTATTATTTATGTCCAGTTTTGGAAAGTTTTCCCACTGGCGTTAATTGGAAAAGTTTAAAAGTTTGTTTTGAAACCACGGTTTTCGTAATTTTTTTTTCAATTAAAACCCCCAATTATATAATTTAATTTGTAAACGTACTAGTACTATATAATATAATAGTTACCCCGTACATATAATAAACTTAAACCTAATTTATAACATAATACATACTGTCTATAGTTTACGCGAGTAGTACACATATATAATAAAACACTTGTTTCAGCCGTGGTCACGGGGAGACTAAAGATGGAGGATGTCTCTGACGTCTAAGTAAAAAATTGCTACGCTAGCGCCATCTGTTCCGAAGTTGGTATTTGGCGAAACTGGCCGGGTCCTTACAGAATTGAAGACTCAATTCAATCAATTTTTTAAGGTTAAAGTGTTTTATTTAAACATAATATATGACAATAAAATTAATAAAAAGTAATACTGGTACTTACTAATAAAACTTTATAAAGAAACAAATAATACTACTCCAAATATGCCTGTTAAAATATTTAATAATTTCGTAATAGTTTTCTTCAGTATCAAGTTTTAATATTTTTAGTAGAATATAGTATATTTTATAAAATAAGTCCCCAATTATAAGATTACACATTCAATTACTTATTCCTTTCAAGAACGTAAGTTTTTACGCACTTTTTATATAAATTATCTGTGAAACGGTTTTTAGATTTTACCTTTGTTATATACTGTGATCTCCTATTATTGTCTTCTTTTGGTGATTCTGTTATATTCAAGAAACTTGAAGCAATAAATAAATTATACACTTTAATATCTAGCACGTTATATTGTAATTTGGCTATCTAAATAAATAGATGTACTAACAATCCTTCGATTTATTTCCTCAGTAAAGCTTAAATGTTATCTGAGCTACCCACATTCACTTAAATGACATTAATACGTGTTATGCAAGTAAACAAATTATTAATATCCAAGCGGTGCGTGTATTTTAATAATTTCCACATCCCCTGCGGGGCTTTTAAAAATGTCGATGCAGGCGGTGAATATTCATTGAACATTACCGTTTTATTCTCGATTTATTATAGAGGTCGTTTTTTGCCGAAACTGTATACTTTGTCCGACATAGGCTGGTAATTATGAAAGCTTTCTAATGATAGAGGACAGACAATGCAGCTGAAGCATGGGGTCACGTGATGAAACGTGAAAACACGACAGTTGACGATCTATTTTTTGGATATTCCGAGATCCTCAAACTGACACCGAAGCGCGATTAAGCTTCACGACTTTAAAGTGATCTGTAGACGAGAGGTGGTTCGTGATCCACACGAAATTTCTATGTTCCTACCTCCTATTTAATATCTAGATGTTTAAGAAATATTAATCGATAAGAAACATTTTTAATTGAGATCACTTGAACTATATCAGCGAAGGATATTCAGAAATCCATAGGTCAAAAACGAAATGCGATATAACACTTAACAGATTTCCATCCGTAGATGATGGTTTGTGGCATGGTAAGAATTTAAATATTTCTACCGGGTAGCAATAATGAAAAACTATTTAATTATTAGATTGCAAATAATCAGAGAATTACTCTGTTTATTTTTGTTCAAAGAGCACATAATTTTGACCGCTTTCAAATAAATAGGTCATGAATTGGAAATTAGCGCCGTATTATTTCCATTAAAACACAATTACGAGGTATTGTATACAAATAACGTTATTCATTGACTTAAGCTCTTTTAATGGTAAATTATGTTTAACTTTTTAACAATTTCCACTGCTGGGAATAAGGCATAAGAGGGTAGAGGCCTGTTAACTACCACACTGGCCAAAATCTATGGGTTAGGTATCATATTCCTAATTTGAAATTCATTTTTTTAAATATTTATAAATATATAAAAAACATGTATGTTGTATGGAAACCAAATAAATATAAAAATATTTTGGGTGTTTTCCACTTTTTATTTGCTATTAGTCGATGCGTAATGTTATTTTATAGCCTAAAGCTTTCATTAAGCAAAAGAGAGGTCTATCTAACCCCTTTTTTTTCGAACCAATGGTTCCTGAGATTAGCACGTTCAAACAAACAAACTCTTCATCTTTTTAATATTAGTAAATACTAGCTGTTACCTAGGACGTCGTTCTTGCAATTTAATCTTAAATGATAGACATATAATATCGCAGACATTTCTTTAGATCACTTAAAGAGGAATCATTCTTCCATACATATTGGTTGGGGTATCTTGAAGCATACGCAACGGAAACCCACAAAAATGAATAAATTTCCCCGTTTTTTTCACATTTCCCACTGTTAATGTATATCGATAAATGCTCTACCAATCCAATAAGAATTTTTCAATTCGAACCAGTAATTCCCGAGATTAGCGCGTCCTAACAAACAAACTCTTCACCTTCATAATATTAGTATAGATACTACGTTTAACAAGTTCTGCTATAAACCTTGCTTTCATTCATCGCTTACTAAGTACTCCAGCAATTTTAAACTTCTCCACAACGCTGGAATAAAAATAGCCAGTATGACAAAGATGTCATCCGAGCTCGTCTTGGCACAGTAATTCTTAACCGCACCACTCGAGGAACTGAGCTAACCATTATATTTATGACCTGTCTTATTATGAGCCGCAAACTATATTTCTAGGGAACCTTTTAGTAAAGCCTAGCACTTCATAGCTATCATAATAAAGTGCATTTAATATAGGTTAATTCTTTGTAAACATATGTGTAACTTCGTTATTTCGTAAACAAATGAATTGATATGTCAATTGGTTAAAGCAGGAACGCTTTGGATGGCGGTGCAAGTCTCGCCCGTGTCGTAATTTTTTCAATCTAAGCTTATTTTTCAGTTCGTTAATACATTATATTCTGTCTATAAATATATCTTTAGTTAACGCTTATGTTCGGTAAATAAAAATTGTCCTCAATATAGTTAAAGTAATCTAAAATATGTTTGTGTACGTAGTTTAATTTAATCTATGATCCCTCGTGACTATGGTTGCTGAAAGGCATTCCACCGTGTTGTATATAATAATAAGTTTATGTATGTGTGTGTGTATTTATATATATTACGCGTTTCAATCCATTCAAATGTTTTACTTAATGTTTAACATTATAATCTCTTAAGATAGTATATAAGCAAATACACATTCAAAGCTCAAACTGTAAAAATTAACTTCAATCGAAGAGCTAATATACACTAATGTAAGCACTTACCAACTTCAAAGTTGCCGGATTTTCTGATTTTCCGCCTGAGAAAATCTTTCAATTCATCACAGTTTCCGCTTTTAGATTCGAAATCCATGCAGATCGGTCTGAAACAATTGACGATTATTTTTCTTTATGTTAGAGGAGAGACAATCTTGGGGTTCACTCTATGGTATTTGAAATACCCAAGCTATATTCATGTATTTATTTGTTTATAGAACAATATAGGATATATCAAAAATTTGAATTTATACTTCACTCGCTGAATCGTAACGGAACATCCTCCTCCTCTATTTTAACGGATAGCTTTACTGCAATGCTGACCTCGGTGGGAATCAAACCCACGACCTGATCATACATTGCTAACATAATGTTTAAATCATAAAAAATCTATGTATGTTGGATGCTACTAAGAATTTTTCGTGTAGTAAAGTTCTTAGACATTTTTTACTTCTCGTACCCTTGTTTGAAATGCAGAATAAAAGGCTAATAAATTTACAAAGGCTATATTTGCAAAGTGCTGAACAAATGAGAAATTGTTGACGCAAACTGTTTGTAATGCGCAAAGTTGTCGAAACACTTGAATATGACAAACTTTGGAACAACGGCGCCGGGCGCTACCTAGTTTAGCGCGAAACTTTTATAGACCATTATGAAAAGTGACGATTTTTAATAAAACCGTTCTCGCACTACCCACTTCAACACGAGTAGGTAGGTAGGTAGTTCTACTCGAGAACAATGTATTTCCTTTATATAGAGGAAAAGTTGTTTTTTTACGACAGACGACGGATAGGCAAGAATAGAAAACCGTGTGAAATATTATGCGTAGTTAACTCAAGCACTACACAATTAAATCAAACACTTTCAACGGTTTAAAACGCGAAATATATTTGGGTACTTTTTTTCTAAAAATTATTTTAACGTTCACGTGACCATGGCTACTTCTAAGAACCGAAACGTCGAGCCGTAATAATATTACATTTTGCGTTTAAACCGTTAAAAGTGTTTTATTTGAACCGTATAACGTGTATTAGAGCTATTTTGGCTTGGGACATTCTGAAATTTTGATTACCGAGCTTCGAATTTAGGACATCACCATGATTCACTTCCGAACAGCCAGTGTTATCTATCTTAGCCATACCAAAATCTTTCTAAATTATTGTTATTGCTTACATTTGAAAGCAGCTACTTTAAGAGATTTCTTTGGTAAATAATATTATTTTATTCGACCCTACTTGTAACATTTCGAATCATAGGTAATGGAAGGAAAACATTACGACGCAAATAAACTTTTAGTGGGGTCGATGTGAAAATATAAACATAATATTTGTATGTTGGGTTAGCACGTAATCATGTAATATTAAAATTTAAAACCGTTATGTTAACGACAGATATTAATTTTAAATTAATTATCTTCGTTTGTAACAATAAAGAAAAATTGTTGTGCATCAGTTTATGAAGACAAGTATTTACTAATAAAAATGTAAAACTGAGTTACCAAGTATAATCTACCTGTGCAAATAATTAATAAGTTAAAAAATAAACCACAGCCTAGGTTGGTATTTTTAATTAGATTTTATTGTACCTACGGAACCCTAAAACTATGTAGCTAAGAATTCGCGGCTGCTTAATGAGGTACTAAGAGGCAGGTACAACCTAAACGATTCTGTTTATATAGGTAATGTCTGGAGAGGGTGAGACGAGAAATTAGTCAAAAGTGGGTCAAAGTCGAGCTGGGTCGACGTCCCGCTATTTGCAGCGTCTGAAGTAATTATGTAACCGAGATGTCACTTCGAAACACGATATTGTATCTTCCCACACTCACCTTATGGCTTAAAATCCGTTAACGAGTAAAACGTTAATAAGATTTCCCCGTACTGCATCTGCTATTATGACCCATTTCCTTTTTTAAGGTTAAAGGTTAAAAATAAGAATAAGACATTCATACAATTGAATGGGGAATTATGAAGGTCTCATTAGGGTACTGTTTCGTAAATGTATTTGGAGGCTTTTCATAATGCATAAGGCTATATAAATAGATAGCACTGTGGTCTCTTTTGTGAGGAATTTCTTAATTATTTGTAGGAGATCTAAAGTTTACTTACTCTTTGTGTGATTGAATAAGTTGCTCCGTTGAAGTTTTTATATCAACTCTTCGCCTCTGGTCTTGTTCTTTGAAACCTGCGAATGACGACCAAAATTAATGTTTCTCTATTTAAACTATAAAGCATAAATAGTTAAAGAAGATTAATAAATAATAACTTTTTAAATGCAATATTTAAATGGTTTTACTGTGTCGTTATGTTTTAATTATATTCTATAAAAATTAGTAAACTAATAATACTCTAGAGCACCATGAGGTTATGGTTAAACTGAGTTCAAGTCCCGTCTGTGTATTTTTTTAAACAAACACATGTCAATATTTTTGTTATATAAGTAATGAATATAAGATATAATAATGACGTCGTTAAGGTACTATGCGCGAGTAGTACACATTTAAGCAGCCGTGGTCTCCCCGTGACCACGGCTGTCGGGCCATAGTAAAAATAATTTTCAAACACACTTGTTTCAACTAAAATAAATCGCGTTTGAGACCGTTGTAGTGTTTTATTTAAATACTTGATAGATTTCCATTTTATTTCACCGTATATTCGCACAGTCGTAGCAAAGTGCACTTCAAACCTCATACAACGAGCGTTAGGCGAGCCGGAGCCAAGTGGATCGTGCGGGTATTTTTAGCAATGGGCAATGCCATATGAAGTGGGCAATGCCCATTTATATTTTTGGGCGTGCGCAATAAAATCAATACTGTGAACTTTCCGCGGGTGCAGTGACCTACTCTCATCGGCAGCGCACCACACGTTGCACAAACTATTTATCGAATCGTAATTTCTTTTAGCGTTCCGGGTTTGGAATTTGAATGTTGTAGATGTTAGTAGTAAACATGGATTACTTGCTATATATTCTGTTAAATATCTAATAGCCATTTATTGTAGTTGATGTAGTTATGGATATACGTAGGTACCCAACAATGCAACTCACTTACATACACTAATATGCCAATATCAAATCACTCTGTTATTAAAAATAATAGACCTTAATTTTATAAGTTGAGGAGCTCAATCATTCAATCGTAGCCCTAATGATATGAATAAGAAATGCTTTAGGGGTTCGAACCCCATTGCGTTCAACTTGTTTTTAATAATTTTTTAATTCTAAAATGTCTTAGATTTCCTTGGGAAGTCTAAAAATAGCCCGGTTCTCTAACCACCGTCAACAGATGAAAAAGCTGTGACGTTTAACCGCCTCTTCAGTTTAGGTTTTCCGAATCCAAAGCTAAAATAGGTCGCTTGTCTGAAAAAAGAAAGAGATTGGACAAATATTTTAGTGGCGTGAAGTGAAACAATTATTATTTTTAGTTGTATTCACTTCACTCTTAAATGTTCACTTTGTCATATTATACAAAAAAGACCACCTTAGGTAGGGTGTTTTTTGTATAGTACTTTATCTTAAATTGTGTTTTCTCCTTATTAACTTTAAACTCTTATTTCTGGCTGTCACTCAGTCCATCCACGAGACATCACTACAATCGGTTCTGCAGCAAACTCTGTTATTGCAGCACCAGCTGAGTGATGTCCTTCCACAGCAAAAATTGTGTTTTGTATTAATATGTGTTATTGTATAAATTCTATCTATGTATGAATTTGCATTAAATTAATTGAATTTTGGTAAGCAAATACATATATTAAATACTGTCTGTTAAACTTATTTGGAAATTATTTAACCTCCGCCCGACGCCCAACGCATCTGTAGTTAAAATAATTCGTTAGCAACGTGTTCTATATAAATATTTTCAAGCAGTTAGCAATGTAGTTGCTTTTAAATAAAACACTTTAACGGTTTAAAACGCGGTATATATTAAACTTATTTGCAAAAAATTTGCATTGCTGCCTGACGTTTTGGATGCTTAATGAAATAATTTTCAATTAAGCTAAACTAACATATGTATATCGCGTTTTAAACAACTTTTAACCACACAGTGTCGATAACTGTTTAAGAATATTTATAAAACACGTCGCTAACGAATAGCGACAACAATTCAAGATAAATAATAAACCGAGAACCCGCTGAATGTAAGAACTACGCAACTAAAGCACGCCACTTGAAAAAGATAAAAATCCATTTTGAATGCGCATATTTCCCAGCCGCTGGATGCCCGCACGGATAGACAAAGGCCTGTGAAATTACAGTCTTGCTTTTAAATGCGAGAACGGATCGCAATGTCTCATCCCCTCAAAGCTTTGCAAGTTCGTTGTGATACGACGACGCGCGTCCGAATGTACCATCCAGTCCTGAAGCTGAATTACAGGTTTGGGCGAAAAAGTTCCTTGATTACAACTTAATGAGTTCTACTTTTGCTTATTTTCGTTTGATGGCCAATCATTTTCGTTGCGCATCACATTGTTTGGCTTTAATAGCTATTGTCTGTACTATTTATTTAAATAAAACGCTTTAAACTGTTTTAAATGTCCCCCCGTGCAGCAAAGCGTCCGAAAAGTCCGGCTGTAGTTAAAATGTATTGTAAATAAGTAAACTAATACATTTCGCGTTTCATACCGTTAAAAGGGTTTAATTTGAATACTTTAAATTGCCTAAGATAGGAAAGGGCTCTATACTTAGATACAATGTATAATATACAGTAATTTTAAATATAGATAAATTACTTCGTCAAACAAGTAATTAAGTCGCACTTTTTGTATTTGTAAAATCCCAAATCTCCTCGTGGAGCATGGGGCGAACATATTTCTATGTCCGTTTTGCTATAAGAAGTTGATAATTTTGTCCTAGTCCGACCATAACTAATTATTGTTTCTCCAATGCTACGCATCAAACCGTTAAACCATTTTGATATAGACGCGGTCGATTTTTCGTATAGCGATAATTAAAATGATAAAATGTACCATAGGCTAACATTTCGTAGAATTAATTTCTTCCAAAGGATATCAAATAATACAATTATAACTAGTTAAAATGCGAACTACATTAATTCATAGGCGATACTAAGTTACACACCCATTTCGTGCGTACATATATAACTAGAGTTATATTGAAATATTTGTATTTTAGTACGAATATTGGTCTTTCTTATTTTTCTTATTTATTGTATACTTATGTATGTATAAATTAATGTAATTGGATTGTTGTTAAGTGTTTTGTATAACATACTTTATTGACCGAGTGTGAAATCTCGCTTGTGTTAATACGGCCACTGAAGGGGCCACAGAATATCAGCGTTGGGATATTAGTCCCAATGTAGCTGATTGGACCTTTTCGGAGGCAATCATTTTATTTTCTTATTATTTTATATGTACTTAGTAAATTGTTATTATAATTCTTTTTATATTATGTTTGTTAAATGTCTGGTGTTGTTTCAGAATAAACGAATAAACTATTATTTTAAATAAAACATTTTAACGGTTTAAAACGTGATATACATTAATTAAACTCAGTTGAAAATTTTTTTTAAATTCGCGCGACGTTTCGGATGCTTTTTAGCAGCCGTGGTCACGGGGAGACTAAAGATGGAGGATGTCTCCGATGCCAAAGTAAAAATTGCTACGCTAGCGCCATCTGTTCCGTCGAAGTTGGTATTTGGCGAAACTAGCCGGGTCCTTGGAGAACTGACTAACGATGTCATCGCGTTTTTCTTTTATTCTTATTCTGTTCTCGTAAGACATTGATTTAGTTAATCAATTAAACGAATTAAAACAAATCTTTTGTGAAATTATAGTAAAGTCATTTTCATTTTTACTTCCCCCTAAGAATTTACTGTCAGTGGAATAGGATGCATAACTGGGAATCGAACGCGATATAAAATATAAAACCAACACAATTTAATAGTGTAACAAAAATAACGCCAACAAAAGCGATAAAGTTTTCCACAAGAATAGAACCTCACATCTTGAAATTGAAAAGAAAACTTCTGCAAGTATTCGTAGCAGGTTAGATACTGTGTAAATAGTCGAACGTGACTTGAATACTTTTTACGTTTCACACAGTTTTAATAGGACGTAGTGGTGGGCAGAATTCTTGCCTGTTTTATGATAAAGGAGGATAGACAAACATGTACTTTATATATAGTAGCCACTTAAACATTCTTTGTCTTTAAGATTCTGGATTACTTTTAAATCCTACTAATATTATAAACGTGAAAGTTTGTATGTTTGTTACTCTTTCACGCAAAAACTACTAAATGGATTTCAATTAAACTTTCCAATAATATAGCTTATACATCAGAATAACACATAGGCTACAATTTATAAAGATATTGTGTGAGCTGTCCAAAATATGACATTAAGTGTCAAGTAACTAGGAAAAAACCTACCTTTCTGCGAGCTATTCTAGCGTGCGCTGCCATAAACGTTAGTTACACATATTTATGTCATAATGTTAGTTCTTTTCTACGCCACGCTAATATAAGCTACTCCAAATACTAATCCTGCGTAGACGAAGTCGCGGGCACCAGCTAGTGTATCATTAATAAGGACCAAAAAGGAATCAAACCCGACCGAAAACGACTTCCTATTAGCTATACATTGCTACAATTGGATCTATGAGTAAAATTGATATGAGTTTGAATGATAACCAGTTATTGCCTTCTGCAACCATACAGATGTAAAATCTGTGAAGCTTATTTGCGTTCTGGTTTCAATCTGTGGATTTCCGAATATCCAAAGCCAATATAGGCGACATCTTGTTTAGATGCTATAGGCCTCTGTCTGATATATCTTTGCTGTATCATTAAAAAAAAATAATATCTGTTACATTTCCCCTTTAAATAGGAAGTGTTTGAATGTTTATTTTCCTTCTGTAAGCAAGGAACCGGTCATTAGGTAGGAATCCAAAGTGTGTATTTCAGATCTTTTGTTGTTCGCGTGTTTCTATCTAGCGGCGTGTTTGCCTCAAGACAAAACCCGCGGGAATTACACTCTTGTACCTCAAACAGTGCAGGTTTCACCTTCCCTTTGAGCCTTAGAACTCATAAACAGATGAAATGGAAATGAAATGCTTACAGCCTGCAGGTTTGTTTTCAGGACCGCGTTGGATGTCTGTAAGGTAGGGTTCTTGTACGAGCGGTTTTATATCTTAGCATAGGTGCTACACGTACGTTCTGTCTTTAG